TTGTCTGATAAAGCAAATAAATTAACATCTCTGAAAATTGAATGAGCATAAAAACTTCAGTTAAAAGTGAAAACTTGAGCCCAATATCTAAAAAAGATCTAAAAATTGCACAAACTGCTCAAATTAACCAGCTCTTTCAACTTTTGAACCCTGTTTGTATATACGGCGATGTTTTCTATAGGTAAACTTGTATGATAATGAGCAAAACTGTAAACAATGATATCAGAAAGGATTCGCCTGGATTGGGTACTCTGGATTTAGGCTGATGAAGAGGTGAGAGGCGGGATTTTTCTGGCATTCTGGCCACTAAAAATGTTTTAGGGTAGGGGGAAATACTTGAGTTGAAAACAGTTGTACTTGTATTCAAAGGGGTTGTTTTTCATTATTTATTTTACTATGTTTTTTAAATCTTTTCACTAAATATTCCCTGCAGCATGGATGCTTCTAGTAGCCTGCTTTACTTTGATCTACATTTACTTCCATTCTTACATGGGATAATCTTGAGTTTAATTTTTATTCTATGGGGATTTTTCAGGGCTTTAATTTATGACCACATTCACACCTCTGAGCTAGGTGGGTTAGCTTCTTCATGTATTAATTAATGCTAATTGATTGTAATTATCATTGGTAAAAATAAAGGAATTTTAATTTTAATTAGCATGCCTGGTGAGTAAAGGGACAGACATTTAGAAGAGTGAAGGGGTTGCGGAAAAAATCCGTACAAAAAAAAACCATATCTGGGAAGAATGTATACGACCAGAACAGCCAGAAAAAAATACATACTAGTACAAAAAAACATGCAAACATGACGAATCAAAAGAAATTAACATGCAAGGCAATATTAATGGATCAAACCAATGCAAGAGGGTGAGAGAGGGGTCTTCAAATTAAGTGCTGAGATGCCTTCTCCAAAAGGTTAATCAAAATAATTAATAATAATAATAATAATAATATACACTTATATTTGCCTTTCTCTCAGTAATCCAAAGCACTTTACAATCAGTACTAATAGTGATAAACCTAATAACAAACATGAAATTACAACTGAAAAGCACCCCTAAAGAGAAATGATTTAATTTTTGATTTGAAAGCACTCAGCTCACAACATGCATAACCTGACCGGCATGGAATTCCATATCTTTGGAATTGCGTGTGAAAAAGCTCTGTAACCACAGGTTTTAAGGTTGTAATTAGTTTGTACTAAGAGTCCTTTATCTGCAGAACACAGAGTCCTTGTTGGTCTATGATGAACTAACAGTATTTCCATATAAGGCCGTGCTAAATCATTAAGTGATTTAAATGTAAGTAAAAGTTTAAAATTTATCCCTCAGCTCTTAGGGAAACCAAACAACGAATTAAAATTTTTCACTTAGCCTACCACCTTAATTATTCCGCCAAAAAATTTAAAATACAAACATTGATACTGAAAATGAATCAAAACACTTGCCCCAGAGAAGCGCCTCTCTGAAGGTCACTTAAAAGCATTTCATTTAATATGAATCACCAAAACAGAGAAGAAAACACGTAACAGAGGAAAAGAGTGTAACAGAAGTGGGCTGTTGGAGCCATGAAAAGGGCTTTAAATCTACCAACACTGTACATATTTTAAGGAGTGTTCTATCTACAAACAAAGTTGCCAGTGCCTGACCCAGCAAACCAAAGCAAAAAACAAACAAACAAACAAAGCAAAAAGGTCTATGTAATATATGACATCACTCAGTAATATAATTTAATTATTGGTTCAATTTTACAAGATAAGCTGTATGTAAAACTACTCAACTTGACAAAAAGAAAATCCAGTTTAAAACTGTATACATGAAGTCTTGCTTTGCATGGATGCTATAATCCTATTAACCTTTTAAGCCCCAATATCCACATACAAATTCCCCAAACTGATCTCTATATATTTCCTTAAGAATTAGTTGAGAGAATTTGATAAAAGAACAAAGGAGTTTCTCTTAGGAGATCATTTTAATAATTCCCATAACCATTTCCTTTGACATGCATGATCCATATTGTTGGGAGAAAATTGATGTTGGTCACTTTTGGGACTTAACGGGTTTAACAATAGCTCAAAAGGTACAACCTAAAAACACATTTGATTCCACATCCAGTGAATAATAATTCTTATCAACGTGTGATGAGTGTCATCATACATGTGCATGACAGGGTTCATAAAAAAAAATGCAACCAGTTTTCAAGGACTTTGCAAGGACGACATCAAATTTTCAAGGACACTATACTAGCAAAAATGTAGTTTCACAGATCATGGTACAAAAATGCACTTTCCCAGTCTAAGCTAAGAGAATTTTAAGCCCTCAAGTGTTCGTCTCATCTCCTTCTCAACATTTTTCTATCTTTGGTAAATATAAACGAGCATTAAAAGAACGCTTTCCCGACATTATTTGCCGAAGAAGCCAACGAAGCATGGAACTCGTAATAAACATACATGTAAGGCAAATTAAGAGTTGGACACACAATCACTGGAAAATCTGCATTTGACTGACTTTTGAACTGGATTACTTTGCTTCTCAATTTCTCTTTATAAACTGCTTTTACAGTGTTTAAAGTTGCTTAATACAGGAAAAGAATACCAAAGTCTATAAGAGAAGCAATTTACTTTCGACCCCACTACATAAATTTCAAAGTTCAAGACAATTCAAGTACTTTTCAAGGACTAACACAGAAATTCAAGGACTTTTCAAGCACCCTAACTAAAATTCAGGGACTTTTCAAGACTGAGCGACCCTGCATGACATAGACATAGTTCTTTTTTATGCTCAAAATTTTTTTAAGTACCAATGTCATTTCTGCGCAGGCAGTATGCATCGCTACATCTACTTTTCCTTGCCACATTTTCAAGTTTATGATGGGATCAAAATTTGTTCTTATGCTGGAATAGGGAACTCCACTATACGATATTTAACTATGCATAATATTCGCAAAAAAAACTTTCCAGATATTCTGATAAATTCCAGCTGTTGCATGACGTGTGGGAAAAAGAACCGGGGACAGGCTTGCATTGGCATCCTGGGTTTTCACCTGAAGCCTGGACTCGCATCATTAGGTTAACACTATGATGTCAATAAGTTCAGTCCAACGTGTCAATAGTGTCAACAAGGACTAGTTCACCAGTACTTTCATCATGTGTAACTGGCACTTTGCTTCTCCCTAGCCCCTTCATAAGTAACCTCGCACACACATCTCTTGTAGGAGAGGCAGGAGTGCCTAAGGTTACTTCAACTGTTGTTACCCTTTGATTGTAGATTGTGTTATAATCCACTGGACTGCCACCTTTTAACAACTCTCGTACATCAGCCAAGCTATTCTTCCCAGCAATTTTCTTTGCCATGGGTGTGGCTGATTCTAGGGCCATGTTGTTACAATGCAATTGCTGGCAGCTGACATTTCGGATGCTGAGATGTTTTTCAAGTTCGCCAGCGAGGTCATCTACAGTAGTTCTCAGTTTCTCAGCTCTTCGTTTAGCTAGTTCCACGTGCAGAAAATCTTCTACATATCCCATGAGGTTTTCCTGAGAAACTTCTTCAAGTGTTCCATTTATTATAAACTACAGTAGTGATCAAACAAAGAAAAAGACAAAACAGTGAAATCAGCTTTTAGTTTTTCTCTCTGTATGAGGGTCCAACAAAATTTTTGACAAAACTTGTCTCTGGGCAAGTGGCATGTTAAAACCACTTGCAGAGCATAATAAGCTGTTTAATGTCCTATAAATCATAATGGTAACAAAAACTAACAAAAACAAAACAAAAGAACAAACAAATATTAAGAATACAGTGACTATTAAGCTGCCCCCAATTAAGCAGACACCCTCTATTAAGTGGACACTAAGCCGGGACCCAAAATTAACATCTTATATTTTCCTTTATAACGAACCCCTATTAAGACACCTCTATTGGACAGACGTGGACACTTAAATTCAATTATATTTGGCTAATTTCTATTGTTAAAAACCTCTATTAAGCAGACAACGGACTGAATTGACAATAGTAGTATTGGATTACGTCCTTGAAATACTTACTGTATTCAGTTAATGTTTTTGCATTTACAAACAGATTAAAGTTGGTCGTGAAAGGTAATGCATTTGAACTCTGGACAGGTTCCTTAGCAATGAGGAACTTTATCACAGTACAGAGGAACCGTTGAATGTTTATCATTAACAAACACTACCAAATTTTTACAAACCTCTGTCAACCAGACACCTTCTATTAAGAGGACACTTGGGAAGGTCCCGAATGTGTCCTAATAGATCGAGGTTTCACTGTAGTAACACTGTACCAAGCACATGGAGCTGATGCAATCATAGGCTGATTGCACTATCAAACTGACAACTGACTGACCACAGGAGCTGGCACTCCTTGTTGTGAATTGTATTAAATTGCATGAAACTGCATTTTACTATGTAATGACTTAGCTTACCACGAATTCAGGTAATATCAAAAAATAACAGTGAAAAATTAATGATGATGCTTATTGCAATCTTTCTACAAATTTCCCGTATTTGTCCTCAGTGAAGGATCCTCCAGACAGGTAACAGTATGGAGTACTTAGCCACCCTTGAAAACAAAAACAAAATGGCATTAAAAAGACATTTACCTGTGACAATGCTTGAGCTCTTGAAAGTGGCACATACTGTCCTCCTGTTTTGAATGCTAGAGCCATAAAAAAATCCTTATAGGACAAGATAGCAGGTTCACACCCAACAGAGTAGAGTACTATTCCACTTTCAACCATGGTTTTGCAAGCTTTCATTGGATCATTCCTAGAAGGACAACCTTCTGGGAAGCCATCATGATCTATTCCAAGGCCATGGGGAGGAGCATCAGCTACAGGGATCAATGTGAAAATCAAGAGTTTTAAACAGTTCATTGTGGATGACTAGCAGCATCAATCTCAGCAGTTTCTGTCATGTTGATTACACACGTTTCTGCTTAAAAGCCATGGGATTATACACAATGTTCTCCCTAAATTTTAGCTCAGCAGGTAAAGGACCATTCATAGCCAGTAAGGCAAAAAAGGTGTGCCAAAGGCAACAGTTTAAATTGTTTGATTCAAATAACTTTACTCTGTCTTTACTCTGTTATCTTTCCAAAATGCATAACCCACAACAAGAAAAGCTGTGTACATGTGTACTTAAGTACTTTTCCATATCTATTTATTCATTTTCCTTTTGAGAAGTGGATTCGATCACAACTTCCTTTTTTTTCCACTTTTTTTTTAATTTTAAAACCTACTTTTTTAATTTTAGTAAATCTACGTTACCACCTGATAAGGGGAACATGGTATACGGGGTTTTAAGAGGACTTACATTTACCTGAGGGGGCTTAAAACTGGAATAAACAAAATTCTACTGTTACCAAAAAGGTCGTAACAAATAAGAATTCATTCAATAATTTGGAGGGTGTATGGGGGTTTTAATTTTAAGGACTTATATTTATCTGAGGGTGCTTATAACTGGAATAAGCAAGCTATAGCATTGCTGATCGAAATTAGTTTCACACTTACTGGTTTTTATTAAGCTACAGAAGGTCGTAACAAATAAGAATTCATTCAATACATTTGGAGGGGGCTTATATCTGGGGGAGCTTATAATTGGAAGTATTTTATTGTTTACAGGTAGATGGGCTTGTAACAAGGTGGGGATTATAAGCCGCATTTGTTGACGTACGTTTAACCACCCATGTGGGTCCATGTCCTTTCTACAGCATGTGACGTCATCAGTTTAAATGGTCAAGGATAACTTTGTCTGCTGACTTGTGCAGAGTGAAGAGATCTTTCAAACCATACCAGAATGAGCACAATTCAGTCAAGGACACCAGAGAAAAAGGCAAAAAACAATGTACATTGACCCAAAAATTTCCAAGAAAATCTTGTTCCACTACTCACCTACATTTCCTTCCATAATCCTATGATCCTAAAACTTTTCCTAAAAACTTTTCCCACCAAAATGAAGCCTACTAAATACTGAGAAAAAAAAGAAAGGCAAGAAAAGCAAAAAAAGGGAGAACCAGAAAGTCACTTTTAAACCCAAAACTAGTGACCAGAAAACATGCTCGACTTAGCTTCAAAATGTGCATCTGGATTTTCGTGAAGTGCATAACCTCCAAACAGCTTTGTTGCAAATGTTTTAACTTTAAATAATACAGAAAAGAGCTTTTATCACTACTACAGCTATTTGTCAATCAGTTAGAGCTCCTGACAAAATTCTGGACAAGTTCACACCATCAGTATGGATGGGTAAACGCAGTCGCCTCCCATGAAACATCCCAGCAAAAGGTAGCCTGCAGTGAGAGGCAACTGCATTAATTGCAGTTTACAATCAGTCTTTATCTGCTAACTGGCTAGCTCCAAGTTAAGTTTTTATGGCTTTTCTGTTTGCCTTTCTGTGATTTTTCTGTTAATTGAGTCTGTGATCAGAGCTTTGTCTCTTCATGACCAATTTTATTATGGTACTTGTTAAAAATGAATTTATGAAAAGCATCAGGCCCACAAGGATGAGTTACACTTCCTTAGCTAACAGTACCCCCCACTTCCCCCTCCCCCTCCCCCCAGCCAGCCTCTATTTCCAACAAAACTGAATAGGGCAAATTTGAAATTGTCTTTGAGCTGTTTACTGGAGTGATCCCCACTATTTTCCGAAGCTGGAAGCCAACTGCTTCTGAGATGTTAGGAGGGATTAATATCCTTACTTACCAATGAGAACACACATCTTAGTGGCGTCTTTTCTGTAACTAAGTTTAGTAGCAGCGTCAACCAAGGCGCAAGCAACTGATTCGGGCCCGTCTCCACCACCATTAGCACTCATCCCATCCACCCAAGTCTTCATTTCAGACACAGAAGAGGTAAAATCGTGAACTTTAGTCACAAATGTTGAGTCTTGTGGAGGATGGTCCCTGTACTCGACCAACGCAAGTTTCACACTGAATGCAGTTCTTGACACCGTCTCCGCGATGGTTCGAATGTGTTTTTGCGCTTGTCTAATGTAAGAACCCATTGATCCCGTGCAGTCCACAATGAAAGCTAGATCAACTTTTTGTCGGTCATGTCGAGCAGCCCATGGAACTTGAAAATCCATCGTGGTCGAACTAGGTCGCTTCCAGAGGCCTTCAAACAATCGATATACGTCCCACAACGACATTGAAGAAGACGGAAGTGAAAATCCCATCATGCAATGTAAACCAGTATATGTCCTTGACCAACACAGGAAAACCAGGAAACGAAAAATAATGAAACTACGTAAGGGTCCACGTAAGTGCGGTCACGGTGTTTTGGTTTGAGTTCCTCTCCAAACGTCGTTTGGAGAGGAACTCAAACCAAAACACCGTGACGGCACTTACGTAGTTTCATTATTTTTCGTTTACAATGCTGGTTGTCCTGTCAAGGACATTGCATGAAGAGCAAGAATTACACGTACTGACAAGATCCAAGAATTGTATATATTTAAAATATAAACTATTTGCTTTCTTTCCCTTCCTTTCTTTAATTTTCTATTTCAACAAAAAGGTTCAGAATTAACGATGTGTTTCTGCTATTTGGATCAAAATTTGATTATTTGATTAATTGCGGAAAGCTGTTAAGTAAGAGAAGAAGAGAAGTCATCGGACAGGCGTGGACTTCGAAATAAAACCAAAATTCCCAGAAAAAAGAAATCGCGAGTACTGCAAGTACAACGTAAGTATTACCGATGACAAGGGATTGGTGCAGAGAATCAAGGTTTTTTATAATAAAAAGCTGTTGTTATGTGAATACACGGTGAGCATACATAATTAAAAGCAGATAGTACCATGCCGCGAGAATTCAAAAGAATCTTCAGTTAGGGTGAATAAGAAACATTATTAATTTATCCATTAACGAGAGTTACTGTTTGACAACTCCAACGAACAGCTTGTTTTTCATTGTTGACCAGTAAGAGAAGCACGGACTGAGAAACAGGTTGACAGTTAAGTTTGTTGCTGATTCTGAAAGAATCTTGTGCAAGTTAGCGACCCAAACTTGAATTTTCTTGAGTGAGAGATAGCGCTGATATAATATATCAAATTCAGTTGGTTTTCCTTAGCTGGTATGGCTTTTACTGAGAGCGAAAAACAAACGGAATGGGAGGACACTTTTGTAGAATTCTATGACCGAAGAAATGAAGGAATCGCGGTGAGGAGAATGGTTCCGTCAGATCACTAAATAAAAAGAGGGGTGTATTTAAGGCAGCTAAGAATATCAAGGTTGCCTTTGAAAAATAACGTTAAGTTTTGTTTACTCGTAGTATTGGATAGCAGAGATAGCAGAAATTAAACGGAGAAAAGAGTCGGAGGATCGGCAGGAAAAGAGGAAGAAAAGGGAGCTATATGCTTGGAAGATCGTTGATGACCAGGTGAGAGAACTTGAGGTGTTTTAATCAATTAACTTCTACAATTTAGATGGAAGTGCCTCACCACAATTCTATGCGGGATTCATCCAAAATGAATTTTTCTCCCTGCGAAAAGAGTCGGTTAGAAAGGATACCTTGGCACCGCGCCGTAGTCATTGATCTTGAGGAAGAGATAACGGATATTCATAAAGGCCACCATCATAAATAGCTATAGATAAGGCAGCTGTAAAATGCTTATAATAAATATTCAACTTTTGATTATTTGTTTCAGTGCATTAACCAATGCCGGTAGCCTAACTGCTTTAGTTATCGACATCAGGCATATTACACAAACTTGCTTGGCTTGAGCAGAAAACTATCGCGATAGTCAAGTACCTATAGTTTACTATATCACGACCCTCTTCAAACAAAATAGAACCAAACCACCCGAGTATATCTGAGGAAAAAATACACTTAGTTAGGAACCCCTCGTACTGATATTCAGTTACTAAAACACTTTTAACCTCGCACAGTTTGCTCAAGCTAAAAATTGGAAATTTCAATTTTAAGAGGCTTTATATTCCTTCAAAAACCGTTTCACAAACTTGTTTCCTCTGAGGCCTCAGTGTTAATTCCAGTTTTTCGAAGCTTTAGAAATTTAAAGGAATGGTTAAAAAGTCAGCAAATAAGTCAAACAAAGTAACACTTTGGCAATGCCACTTAGAAACAAGGAAAATAACTAAACTCATCTATCAATTCTAAACGTTTGCCCGTGCTTTATGAACAACAGTAATTTTTTCTTTAATCACTACCGCTATAGTAGGCATCGTTACTTTTTTCCATAAAAGGCAAGACTTTGAATTTGTCAAATAAGGAAACCTAAACAAGCTCCGCTTCCCGGTGGGAGATTAAAACTCGTAATAACGGGTCCTTTAAATAGATTGTCACATGGCTCCCAGGGGGTATACGTTCAGTAATCCATATCAAAACATTTGAGTTTTGTTCAAATTTTGCTATCGCTCCAATAAACCCTAAAACCCTTTTAATATTTAGTTTACAGTAATTTCAATTTACGCTATCAAATTATAAAGTCTGTAGCTTACACTACAATCCTAGCCTGCTGGCAAACTCGCGAGAGAACTGGCAAGCGAACGACGAAGAGCGTTTTTTCTTCCCAGCATCCTCATGCCAAGCACAAAGCATCATGGGAAGGGAAGAACTAGCCAACTCATCCATCACTGAAGTTATGAATGTATGAAAATCATATATGAGAACTGCGGGGTGAAGAATTATATGAAAGAAGATCATCGCAGTTATAGACGCACTGCAGTAGCGAAAAGGCTTTCAGGCTTTCTTTTCGCAACTGCAAAGTTACGTCTATAACTGCGATGATCTTCTTTCATATAATTCATTCGTCACTGTCCCGTCGTCTTTTACGCATAAAGAGAGAGACTTTAGTGAAAGAGGCAGAAGTTCCCCATTATAAAGTCATATGATCGAGAAAAAGTTAAATGAGCTGCTCAGCACCTAGAAGGCGGTCGGGTAAAATAATACTGAAATTTCTAAAGCACAGGCGAAAATACTTTCGCCATGATATTGGAGGGCAGTAACAGCAGTAACACAACCAGATGTCTGCAGTAGCAGGTCATTCGTAATGATATAAAATTTTGCTATTCACGTTGACCCGTTTTCTTTGCACTTTCGCTTTAGATCGTGCCTTGGGATCTTGCAACTAAAGGATTCTTCTTTAGTGACGAAGTTTACATTGTACTGAATCGCACTGACATTCAGTCAACAAAAGTACCAGAGAGGGTAAGGATGCTCTGTAATTTAAAACAGAGAATGGAGAATAAGGTTTTGCTTGATTTTGATGCTGTCAGTGACATTAACTCTTTCTGGCGTGGAACACCATAAAATGCCATAATTAGGGCCATTTATACGAGGGAAAATAAGACGCGAACTGCACCATTTAAACAAGCATGTCTTATTTAAGTCTTCTGTATACTTAAACTTACTTTTTAAGTGTTAGTTTAAAATACGAAGATAGCAATTTGATTAGTAAAGGGTCAGTAAATATAAATTGTGATAGTTTAAAGTTAAAAGGGTCTACTTACACCGGCAGATGTCACGCATTTGTCTAGGAGGTCTATTATCGCCTTCTCCTTACATAATAACAAAAAATCTTTTCCTCTGCGATGGACCAAGTGTTTCTTTTTACCTTTAACAAAGTGCTCATTGTATTTTAGCAAAGAAAAAAATAAAGCAGAATAGACAAGGACACGAAAACGAGTTGTAATTTGTAAACAATTTTTCCCCGCCAGTGGCCTGCCAGTCCACCGTGGGGCAAGCGATAATTTTCCCGCCAAAAATTAACGCATGCGTACTATGCGTTCGCGTCTTATGTAAGACGCGAGCGCGAAGGTCATTTATACGAAGTTTTTCTCGTCTTAGTTAAGACGCGTCTTATCTAAGAACAGGTGTTAAGGGCTGTTCTAAAATAAGACGCGTCTTCGCTAAGTCGCTTCTTATTTTAGACGAAATGTGCCGTTTATACGGAAAGTTCGAGTCTTATTTAAGACGCGTCTTATTTCAGGAGCGGATCTAGACGACCCCTGAGATGACCTGCGGTTTTCTAATACAACTGGTATTCTGCCAAAAAAAAACTATGTGGTTTATTGGTGTTGACGTAGAGCAAGAGACGAGTGCACCCCCTCCTAAAAAAAAATCCTGAATCCGCCCCTGTATTTTTCCTCGTATAAATGACCCTATGAGTTTTAGAATTTCATGACCTCATTACAGTCGAACCTCTCCACAATGGCCACCTTGAAGACAGAAGAAAGTGGCCGTTGCAAGGAGGTACGGGGGAAATATGTAATATGTATGGCGAGGGACACAAACTTGGACCCCACCATACAAACGTCTATAAATTTTCGCAACTTTGCAGAGCTATTTCGTGATCTTTCTTCGTTCGCTTACTAAGACGTATCACTTTCAAATTTGGCAATGTTACTAATATTAAGGCGCTCTTTCCAGTGGTGTCAAAGGATTTTCCTTAACTGGTTCATTTCAAAAGTTGGAAAACCATGAAAAGGTCTATTACACCGACCAATAAGGACCGCAGTGTCTTTGGCTAGTCAGTGGATAATACCCACCACTAACCACCTTCACTTCGGTGAATAATTGTCATATATTACAATCTTTCGGGAGTGGGGTTTTAGTCACGTGTCAGCGTGCCCGTCCCTCTCTAGTACTTTCAGTTTTTCTAGATACATTTGTAACTTTAGTGCACAAGGGCATTATTGATGGATAAAAAAGTGTGGTTGTATTTATTATCACCTTCCTAAAATCTAATGGCAAAGTTCTGTTTTTTTAAAGAGGCTTCAAACACCTGATGATATTTACTGCTGGGTAGGGAAGTCGGCAAGTCATCATTCGTACAGAACTGGCCTCTACAATGCTGTAGCTCTGGACGAAGCGGTAAGCCTTGCAATTCTTTGTCAACTTATTGCAGTGATTTAAGGTGACACATAATTATGGTCTTGACTTCTCTGAAGGAGTTTAATCGGGAAAGGAAAGAGGGAGTTAAGGCGGGCAAGAACGCAATAGCGCGCATTTCTTTTTCTTTTTTCTTCTTCCTCGCGCGTTCATCGTGTTTTCATTCCCCTCAAACGCCTGTCCCGCAAGCTATTGGCCCGGATACACAACGCGTTTTGAGCGAGGCACGTCAACAGAAAGTGGACGTTTTTCGCTATCGGACAGTTGTTTTGCTCAAATGTTAGAGCAAATCGAGTCTGTAAGAGTAAAGACACATAGCCGGAATATACAAATTTGATAGCATTAAGCCATATAAAAAGGGCAAAGGCCTCACGTTAGCTTGACGTGCGTCTTTGCTTAAGCTTTAGATTACGTTTTAAACGACCTCGCAAGCGATGCTTCCTTTCATCCCCTGATACTGTTGTTGAAAACATCGTGCTTCATTCACCACTCACACATTACCCATAATACACGTTTTACCCCCCTCCCCCATCCACCCTCCTCCCGAGCATTTTGCAATTTGCATTTGAACGTCATTTCTATGGTGGATAAGAGTACAGACCCAGAAATTCTAACCCTCCCGTTTTGGTCTTAAACCTCTCGTATTCGGCGAATACTTCCGGCCTCCTGTTTTCGGTTATAAAATATTCTCCCGGTTTTTTGAAACTCTTCCTAGCCAAAGAAAGACAATGTTGTCTTTGTCTAACCAGTCTTTTTTGCACGATTGTTTGCCGTTTTTCTGTGGTTTGTTGGCCATTTTTACCCTTTTGGCATCCGAGCATTAACCTGCGAAAACTTTGGACGCGGTAATGCACTGGATTGCCTCGACTTGGCACAAGAAATTGTATCTTAGAGGCACATATCCCAAGAGGCTCACGCCTTCGGCGCTGGGTGGGCGCGGCTATGTCGTTCTAAAAACCTACCCTTTTTTAGTTGACAGGGTTGGAATCTCTGCAGACCTTGGAAAATTGTTGACGATTTGTTAAATACATGCAGTAGCATTAATAACAAAAGAACTTCAGCACTTATCCATATAAATACTAATAAAAACGAGGAAAATTGGATCAGTTGCTTAAACTGATAACACATTATTCCTGCATGTTCTTCACAGTTGGAAGGAGTGGCAATTGTTCACCGAGAGGTGCAAGACTTCGAATCCAAACGATTTTTAAATGGATTTGAATTCTACACGGTGCTTAAAGGAAGGTACGATAGAAAGATAATTCCATGAAGTTCTGTCTTTTTTCCCTTTGTTAAACGATAACAGAGTAATACAAAAGCAAAAAGGGATATATTTACTTTTCTAGTGTTGTAAGACGTTTATTCTCGAACGAACCTTTCAGGACACATAAAAGAAGACAGAAATGAGAAACAAACTTAAACAGTCAACTTACCAAAAGTAACAACTGTATATTATGCACTTGAAAACCTTCCATTGCACGTAAAAGACACAAAACCTACGACGCATAAAAATTAATGAAATGCCGTTTAGTTGTACCTTACTTACATATAGCACTTAGTCATTAATTTACCGGCATAATTCGCTGGTCCCGTGGGTTTATGTATACGCTCCGCATCCCTTGACCTACCCCCGCATCCTCGCCCCTATCCCTTTGGTCCGCCAAAGGTGGTGGGGGGGGGGGCAAGGTAATCTTATTGAGGGACAACCATATCGAAGCTTTCTCCGCCGCAGAGGTGTCTATTTCTGTCGTAGGAAGACTGAAGAGAGAAGAAGAAAGCGCGCGGTTTTCCTCCTTACCATCGTCCCCCGCACGCTTTCTATTTTCTTGATATTGCGATACCCAGCCGGAGCATCTGCAGCGGAGAGAGATATCACAGCGAATAAGGGTACCCTTTATAGTCCACGCGTTTCGTTTGACGCCGGACGCCGGACGCAACGTCCGGTTGTTGGACCACAACGTTTTTTTTTAATCAAAGATATATTTGACCCTTAGTTTACCCTTAGTTTACTCAAGTTTTTAGCGCATTTTTTACAGCTTAAAAGACCCTCCCGGTTATTTATTAAGTTCAGCTCCGATCTTAAACCTTCCTCCGGCACTCAATGCTCGCGCCTGCTGCAAGAATAGTGCAAATCCAGTAGCTAAACCTCTGCTCCGGTAATTCCAAATGTTACCGAAAACCCTGTTATACGACCATTTAGGTACTGTTTCCGAAATTTACGACGTTTACATTTGACTTTCAATCAGATCTGATGGCTTGGACAATTGTGATCTGCATACCAAGTATAAAAAGCGACTCCTTCGCGTCACAGGGCCACTGGGGGTGAGTAAATGAAGCAACTTTAAAACAGGCCGCAAGATGAGGCTGATTTCAAAGAGACTTAAAACAATCTCAGGCTCAACAACAGCTACAGCAAGCTGTTTTTTCACGGTCAAACAGCGTGGTTTTCGATTGAGTATCGTAAAACAAAAAGGATAGAGGGCCACGAGTTTACTAGTTTCTGTAACTATTCCTTGCTACCCTCTTTAAATAAAGTGTATTATTATTACTATTGTTAAGGATCATAACTTGTCAAATCGCAACATGTGTACAAAATCCAGTAAATCCATGAAAACTCACATGAATTGAAGGTAGTACACCACGGCATGTCTAGGGTTGGGAGAGCGGGTCACTGGACATACTCCAGAGATGTTTTAGACAAATGCAAAACGAGTGGCGCTAAAATACACATCCCTGAGAACTTTAAGATATCTATTGATATGGAAATATTCTTGTTTTATTCCCGATACAAAAAAAGCGGGAAAACTTTACGATAATAATTCCAACTCGTCTAATGAAGTAATACCTATATAGGGAAAAGAGGAGGAGGAAGGGGGAGGGAGAGGGAAAGCATTAACCAAAAGGGAACCAAAACAACAAATAATTAGGACGAAAAATATTAGGATCATTAGGTAAAAAAAAGCAAAGGTAACAAGTTTCTTTACTATCTGTTAAACGCTTTACATTTTATAAAAAGGCTTACAAGTAGTGAAAATATTGCGCACTCACCCTTCAGGAAGAAACATATCCTCGGTGTGCAACCACGTGACATGTTGGCTGACTAAACAATTCAATTTTGTTCGCAGAATTTGCGTGAAAAAAGAGTTTAGATCACAGTAGAAGGAAACACCATTGTTCTTGTCAAGAACATGACCGCCCGTGACAACAGCTGCAATGAAACAAGCAATAGGCAACTGATTAATTCCCTTAAGGAGCTACAGAGAGAAGAAGTCGTTATGCCACGTTGCCATGGTAGCAAAATTTTCTGGATCTTAACAAAGCGTGGTCCTGCAAACATGGCAGAAAAAACCGAGAAAGTTGATATGCATTACTTTCCTGTGCATGATTGCATTCATGAACCAAACGGTAGCCCACACTATTCTTCCATCACTGCACATTGCAAATGGTTTTATCTGTCAAGAAAGGTTGTTAAGATCTAGAGATTTTGTTACCACGGCAACGTGACGTCACACTTTTCCTCTCTATTGGGTCATGAATTTCAGATGTAGTAAAATTTCTTTCCAATTAAAAATATTATGTTTTCATTTAAATTTCAGGGAACCCTTTGTATCCGTGAGACATCTATGAAGAGAGGAGCAATGAGGGAATCCAAAGATTTGTTTATCCTTGATAAGGGCTTGACAATATACGTGGTAATGTGTCATTCAGTGAATAATCCCCTGCCTATAATCGGTAAATCCACAAAGAAGGAATGAACAAACCAGTATTTGCTATGTAGACAATGCTTTACATTTACCTGGCTCCATGGCTCATTTCTCAGGTTTCTTTGTACCTAAAGGTTACCAGAGTAACTTCCGGTGCCGGAGAAAGATCCTCCTTACAACTGAATAATAGTAGATCCCGTATTTAGCCCCCTCTCTTAAATAGGTCCCCCCTCCCTAATAATTCTTCCTTTTCAGGCGAAGAAAGTTAATAAGCGCCACCCTCTCCTCCCCTCATCACTCTTCTCTTTTTGATCCCGGCTGGGTTGCCCCCAACTTCTTGTACTTGTCCTTTTCCACTTTGCATTCCAGTTCTTTATGGAAAACTGATACCACCATTTCCGCTAAATAAAATAAGCCCCTCTCAAAAGGCTCAGCCGTCGCTATCAAGCTCCCCCCTCAAACACTTTTGAAATAAATAGGCCCCGGGGGGGTTAATAGAGGATTTACGGTAGTTAAAAAGCCTTTCGTTCTGAACGAGACTAACCTGCGTTCCAGGTGGAGAAGCAATGTTGAGTGCAACTTCAGGAACGCTCCTACATGTTAAATGGGCGTGGAAAAACGAGGTCTATGCTCGTGATTCTGACAAATACGCTTGTGAAATTCCTACCTATATTCAAGGACACCAATTACGAAAGCAAAAAAAAAAACTGTTTGATGAGCCGAGGTTTGGGGGCTTGCAGCCCGCCATATGATTGTAATTTACCTTTTACTTGATGATCTGTCCCTTGAGCTCGTAATTTCTGACAGAGAATCTGTAAAAACAAAACATATGCCGGTGGTTTGAAACAGCGGCGAAATGAACGGACTCTGTTTGAATAGTTATCCTATGGTTAAAGGTAACAGCAACTTCTTTGTGAAAGAGAATAAATAGGAAAAAATAATCATGAAAAAGGATTTGGATCGAATATTGAAGATCCGCGAACTCGGTGACCCAAATCAGCAAATGTTAAAGTTGTTTAAGCAAACGGTATACAATCCAACTGGGTGATTCCGATCGTATAATATCAGCACTTTTTCCCCAGGATGACTCGCTGGAATACAAGACACCCCTCGCCGCCCAACACTGGTTGATTTAGATACTCAGCTAGCACTCTCTCACATAATCAGTGAGCTGATTTATTATAATGTTCTTGTATTCTTAGTGGGTCGGCAGTGGATTAACAGATTCAGAGCTCAAAGTCAAAAGAGCAAAAGAATACGCCGAAGGAATTAAGGTAATGAAACAAAAACACCTAGAGTCATCAACGTGGCTAGGCCCCGAGTTTAGTTCGCTTATTCCTGAAGTTAGGATTTACTGCACGCCTACCTACCCGCCCAGAGGTCTGGCTCTACTAGTCTGGTGGACCAACCAGGCGGCTGTCTTATAATGCTTCAATCCATCAAATTTCTTATGCCGCTGTTTCCTTTTTTTAAGGCAGAGCGCAAGGACAGGGGCATCAGAGTTGGTACAGTCCGTAAGTTCAATTTCCAATTTTTTACCTCTAACTGATAATAGTCCCAAACGTTTTACACTTTGCGGTCGTAACAATTCTAACCAGACTTCAATGTTGAAAATGCCCTAAAGAAATCGATCCATCCATTCTTGCGTCTGTTTGTCCATACCTACCCTCTTACTCAGGCCTTCTCTGCATCAAATATTCATCCGTCGATCCGTCCGTTTGTCTTTCCCTCCCTCCCTCCGTCCCATTGCTGTCCATCCCTCTGTCAATCCGGTCATCGATGAGTCCGTCCGTCCCTCCATCTGTCAATCCGTCCGTCTTTCTTTCTGTTTGTCTGTCCATCCTTCCGTTTGACCCTCTGCTCGTTCGTTTGTCCGTTTCTCTGTCCATCTCTACGTCGCCTTGACCGTTTGTCCTTCCGTCCCTTTGTCCGTCTATCTGTCCGTCCGTCTGCCCATCCATCCATCAACTAATGAGTCTCTTACGAATATTTTCAGATTGTCCTTGATCACTCACACTATAGACTTTATTTAGACAACAATACCGTTCTTTTCGCATTGCACACGGTTTGCCTAGTAGGCCACACTGTCAGAGAGTCACAGTATAGCCTGTAATGTGTTGTGTGTGAGTAAACTTCACTTTTTCCAAGACTACTTTAACTTATTTTCGTTCTTGTCTTTTAAGATGAGAATGATGAGACGTTGGATAAAACTCACGAATTATACTGGGAGTTCCCTTATCAAGCGAAAAAACCTATTCAAGCAAAAAAATGGAAACCCCCACAACAGCCACAACGCGAGGTAAACTACGACGCCTTCTGTGCGAACTGCTTTTGCAGGTTTTGTCCAGTGCAAATGTAAGAAGCGAATAACTATTCAAAGTTAATGACAGCGTCATAGAGTATATATATCATACGTGGCAGAAAATGAGTAAACAAATTTGCCGCAAATGCACATTCCCACCATTGCTTTGCAAAGAAATGTTTCAACAGCATTGAAAAAGTAAGGTCGGAGGAAATTTATGTTCTAACGTTTTCTAGTATATAATAGAGGATCAAAAGGTCTCTGAATAGGGGAAATACATACGTCAAAGTTCTCTTTTAAAGAGGTAAAAAGCTTCTTGTATTTGTTTGACGATAGACACCTGATCCTAGCTTGGATTGCATTACTGAAGCGTTACTGAACCAAAATTTGTTCCTTTTTTTTTGTCAAGGCTGGCCCAGGTCTGCATGTGTTCCTAGGACAGAAGCTGAATAGAAAGATGTTTCAAGTGAGACTCTTGTAAGTGTTTTTAAAAAACATTCATAAGGATTTTTCACTGCATTTTATAGCAGTTTCGATACAGCTGCAAATATCTACCCTCTCTTCTACGCAGAGGCTCTCGCTGGGCATTCCAATAAAACTCGAAATAATTAAAAAATAGTAAGCGCTTTCTTTTCCCCCCTCCAACTTAGTCCAGTTCTAAACGTGAGCTCTTAAATTGGCTTTATTAACTCAGTTATTCAGAAACGTTTTTGGAGAACCTTTAAAACATTCTGGGAGCTGCGAGTCTAGCAGGCTGGAAAATCATTGAATTTTCTAAAAAAATGCTTGGCAGCTTACGCCTCCTCCCCCTTCTCTTACAAAAAATGCTGAGCACAGAAATTCAGCTTAAAAACCTGAGTATTTATTACATATTGGACTTGAGCAATAAATGATCTAGGAAAGGCTCGATACTAGCACACGGATATCCGCTGATCGCAACATAACGCACTGCACTGCTTACTTTACGAACAAAATGCAAAAGATCTTAATGTGTTCTCTATCTTTGTGACTCTCAAGGAATCCCGTTGCCCGCCGAGATCATGACTTTCGTTTCCAGGAAAAATGTCAAGGAGAAGACGTTTGCCTGAGGTTAATGGATTCCAAAGAAGGTCTGTTAATACATGAATTGGGTACTTCCCACTGATAAGAGAAAAACTCCACATGGAAAATTCCTTTTTGGGCCAGTTCCAAGCAAATAACGCGATTTCAGTTTGGTAATCGAATTGGGCGTTTGGAATGCGTCTTTTTTTCGTGTAGATGGGGGAATTTCTTGGTAGCATGGTCGGTTGGTACATACTCAAGCTCCTAATCTTACGCAAAGAAGGAATGAATGAATTACTAATAGTCGCATTACTGAGCATGCGTATTATTTCGGGCGATAACTGTAATGATGCGCCATCTTGATCATGTTTTCAACTCCTCGCAGGCGCTAAGATGGGAAGGAAAGAATCGTTTAGTTACGAAAGAGAACGGCGCACCTAAGGCGCAGCAAAGCACTTGTTCGGTATTTTCAAAAGTTTTCATACCTTTTATCATGTTTTAAAGCTTTTTTTTATCTCTTTACACTTTCTCCACGAACTTTGCGATTCATGAGAGGAGATAGCTACCGTTACTATGCGACACCTGTTTAAGCTGTTTCAAGGGAGGCGATTTCACACTCTTTTGTCGCAGCTAATATCAGCTGTTTATTGCATTTAATCTGTTTTTGTTTTAATTGCAGTTTACGTTGTTCATGTGAAAGATTCTGAGGAGCATGTGTTTATCCGGGTTGGCAAATCTTCATGGATACGAGAAAAGGGAAATGGTTTGATTGTTGGTCATGTGAGTATTACAGTGGCCAATGGCTTTGTTTTGGTATCCAATGATTATCGAGGATATGCGCGCGTGACCTAGCGTCATTTTGAAATGCAGAATGCGCTGAAAACTTTCAGTCACATTTCGTTGTCCTCGTCCTAGCCTGCGTGGCGGGAGTTCGAAAGGGAAAGGGAAAGGAATTAGGGCGCGAGACCGCGCGCGAGGAAGGAAGGGAACGCCCCGCGCGCTCTCGCCCGCCCAAATTCCCCCTTCCCCGTTTAACGCCTGCAGCCACGCAGGCTATCCTCGTCCTGGAATTTAATGTTCCCTAATGTCCTTAGTCCTGTTAACAATAACAGGTGTGTTTTTAAAGTCCAGTATAAAGAGAAGTTTCTAAGAGATTCATGGGTCCACGTGCAGCCGCATCACAGCGCACTCTCAGGATTAGGTAATTGAGAAGAGAAAGACCTCGGAAACTAGAGATTGTCCTTTTCGTGCATTAGTGAACTTACGCAACAGGACGGGAGAGGAAAGAAGACGGTAAAGCTTGTTTCTCCGTCTTTTTGCGAAGAAACCAGAGGTGGCGTCGAGTAAAGTAGGCTGTTTTCTCAGGCTAATTCACAACAAAATGAGATTTTTCTAGTGGAATCAGCCTGGGTTGTGGATCTCCTTCTAAGCACCTCTCGTTGAGTAGTCTCACGACATAAGCCGGATGATACCGCATATATGGTAATAATGTGCGACAAGTTACCACATTTGTTGTGTTTTTTTTTTCAAAATCGACAGGATTATCTGAAGGACGAAGAGTTGACATTCGAAAGACACTCTGGAATCCCCATTACTGTCGTTAAAGAAGAGCAGTTTTCAATTCAACTCCAGGCCGCCATTGGAATATAAGTAAGCCACCCCTCGAAGCAGGGTTAACTGAAATAACCAGCGTGAGCATTATAAATGGCCTTCGAACACATGAACTGGGCGCAGAATAACTAGTGTTGTTATATAGGTGGCTCCAGTTGTTCAAAAAATGGATAGCGCTATCAACTGGATCAATCACTATCCAGTGGATAACGCAATTGGTTTTCGTACTACTTATCCGCTCGATAGCGATTTATCCGGTGGATAGCGCTTTTTGAAAAACTGTGGCCTGGAATTTTTATTCCCAACAGCGCGCTCTCTCATTGGTTACTTCGAGGTCACATGACATCTAACAATGAAACTGTTTCCCGCCAAAATCTCTGAGCGGGCAACATTACAAAATTGATGACTTAAGAGGGTAACTGTGCACTGTTACCCGCAAATTTTGACAGTCAACCGCCGTTACAGCAAGGTTTAATGAATTTCCAGCTATATAACAAACCACTTAATGACTCGTTCCACAGGAAAAAGGTTAATTTTGGGTGAATTTATTTGCAAAATACGCTTATAGCTGTTGCATTTGCCCGTTGGTACTTTTTATTGTTTTTAAGCTCAAAAAAGATGACGTTTTACAGAACATTTAACTTAACCCAAAAGAACTATTTTTGCGGGGCCTTGTTGTCGGCCATTTTAATACCCTATCAGTATCATATACTTATATTAATGAATTTAAGTTGCATTATTATCGTATAGAACGAGTTCTAAACAGCGCTGATTACTCGATTTCTCTTTTTATCAGTATAAACCCATCAGACATATTCATGAAGACATTGGTCGAGGCAGTTTAATTCGCAGTTTGCCAAGATGGGGCCAAGATGATCGAAGAAGGGAATTTATCAGCTTCTTGAGGAAATGTTTATTTATAGGGTGTTTTTGCGGTAAATAATGGTGTAATAATCCACATGTTTTAAGGAAAACTGGATTGACTTTTGCATTTCATTATAGTGCTTTAGCAGCTGAGAATAATAGTAAAAGTAGAAAACGAAACATGTCTTGTTATTGTTTAATTCAAATACGCTTCCATGTAGCGTCATCCTTCAGGGTACTCTAGAAAATGTTAAAAATAAGGAAAAACAAATTACGAAACCGGCGAAAGATAAGATTAAAAAAACGCTGGCGTTATCATCATCATCATCATCATCATTATCATCATGGTTGTTGTCGTGACCATTTTTAAAAATATATCAAACTAGGGCACCGTTGTGTCGTTTAACCTTGAATCAACGAATGCTAGAATCATAAACCATTCTCCACTTGTACCCATGACGAATTGAGCTGACAGTCTCCGGGATCTTTGCTCATCAAAAAGATTCAATGATCAAGTCTGAAACTATGATTTTTACATTGCAATAACTCTTCGTAATTTTTCTTTTTGCGCAAACGTACGAATATCGCAAGGCATGGGGCTACATATGCTACACCCTGATCGTAGTTCAGTCGAAACCAGCGGCGAACTGGAATGTTGTTATGCAGTTTACTTCGGACACAAACTTTTCCAAAGTAACTGAGAAGAAGAAGGACTATCTAGGGTGGAGTATATCTGGGGTTACAAAGAGAGTGCACAAGGCCCCCTACCCCCTCCCCTCAAAAAGCATCATAAATAAGTCAAACACGCTTTTTTTTTATTATCATTTTTCGCTCAGGTAATTATAAGACAGTTGAAGTTCGAAAGCTCAAGAACTTCAACGAAGTTGAATTTTTACGAAATCTTCAAATGAATGACTGAAATCTCGATACTGCATGCGATAACTCAAATGATATGGGGACGTTTGGAAACTGCTAGTAACGAGTGTTGTAGACAAGAATGCACCTTTTAGAACAAAAAGGACCAAAAACAAAAGCTTTCCATAGATCATAAATAAAGTGTCACATGGAATATATAAAAAGGACTTTCTGAAGAGGAAAGCTACTTCTTCAAACGATCCCTTGATTTGGGTACAGTTCAAAGATGAACGAAATAAGACTAACAACCCTATAAAGAAAGCCAAGCGTAAAAACTTTTCTGAAATACTAGATGCAAACAAATGTGATCCTCATAAAACTTGGCGGTTCTTTAATGAGCTTCAGTCTCCACAAAAGTAAATCATCTAGAGTGTCCCAAATCAAAATAGCTAGGAAGTCAAGTTTTCACGTCACCTGGTGTTAAAGCTGAAGCGTTCAATAACCATTGTACAAACATTGGCCAATCTCTAGCTCGCGAAATTCCCAGTGTAGACACTGATTCCCTTTACTATGTAAATCCTGTCTGAACGGAGTATTTCTTTTCCAACGGATCAATGTTCAAAGAGTCATAAAATTACTTAAAGCTATCGATGTTGGCAAGGTAACCGGTCTTGACGAAAATTCCCTAAAAATTACAGCCGTTGTTGTTGTTTCGCCCATTTTTATTCAATCCATACTGACTGGTATTTTCCCCTGTCAGCTAAAGTGTCACCTATTTTTAAGAATGGCTCCAAGTCAGACCAAAACAATTACCGGCCAACATCTGTTATCCCTGCCTTAGCCAAAATTTTTGAAAAATTGTCTATGATCAACTTTACCAATGAAAATGGTGTTAATCTGGTTTTTGTTCCCTACACAGTACTCTTACAGTTTTATTAGAGACAAACGATAACTGGTGTGTCAATATTGACAGAGATCTTGTTAATGGCGTAATCTTCACTATTGACACTATTGACCCAGAGATCATTCTTAAAAAACTCACTAAATACGGCGTTGACCAAGGTGCCTTGAAATGGTTCAAATCTTCTCTAACTAACCGTATGCAAAGATACATTGCACACAGTAGGTCCTCTCTACTGTGGCGTACCCTAAGGGTCAATAATAGACTCCCTTCTCTTTTTGATCTACATAAATGATCTTCCAAACTGTTTGAATGCTGGTTCTCCTAGAATGTACGCGGACAACACTAACGTTACCTTTTCTGCACATAGTGCACATCATCTCGAATTACAGTTCAATACTGAGTTGAAACATATTAATCTCTAGCTTAAAGCTAACAAGTTAAGTCTCAATGTCGCCTGAACAAAGTTTGCGATTATTATCTCGAGGCAGAAACTGCAGACTTTAAATGACTACACAATCTGAACATTAATGTAGATGGCGTCCAAGTAAACCAAACAACTCATAGCAAATCTCTTGGCGTGGCTTGCTTTAACTTAGCTTGGGTTTTCGTTTTGAGGATGAGGTGGGTCAGGATATTCTAAGGCGACGCTGCATTAGTTGGTGAAGAAAAGTTCTTAGCGACCCGTAATTTAAAGTCATTGTTAAAATTTGTCATCTGATATATTGTGAGAAGCAGACCGACTTTCTATTCTACTGAATCGTAACTAAGCTTAACATAAACTGAGAGAATTTACGAGAATTTTGCTCACAGTACAAAACCTAAACATTTATAAAACAAAAAGCCATAGAAACAAAATTAAGTGAAATCGAAGATTTTGTTGACAATGGCGCTTAATTAGTTAGAAATGGGAATTTCTAAGTGCACCAATGATAATGTGAAGCTAACTACAGGTGGTGAAACAATCTTAAACTAAGAATTATTGTGAAGGGAACATCCTTGCCAGGGCACAGTTGAAATCTTCCAGCTAAGCACAAACTCGTTCGAAGGGCATCAACAGCTCTAACATTTAATCATGAGCGGGTTAAGAAAACAGAAGGACTACGATTGGAAGGACTCCAATGTTGCGAATATCAAAAGCAAGGAAGACAGAGATGTAAGTCTTCGTTTTGAACAGTTATGGAGGAAACTCCAAATTTGTAGAGGAACTCTATGCAATGTTCAAGTAGTTAAAAACAAGAGCATTTGTGTTTTGACTTATATATTCAGTTACGATTACATGCCGCAAATAAAGAACCTGCTTGGAACAGAGTCGAAGAAATTATGTCAGACAAGCTTGGGAAATCAACAAACAAGGAAGACCCTCAAGCATTGAAATTTTGGAGGGTGGAAAAATTTCAGGTAAAAAACTTGTTTCCAGTTTCTTCATAAAATTATGACTGACAGTCGTTTAATGTTTCCAACTTTTGAATTCGTGATTGAAATCCACATTCTTTATTTTCATGAAATATGTTCGCTTTTCTGTTCATTATACAAAATTAATGTAAGATTCTGGAAAACTGCGTCCAACTTCCCCTCCTTAACCACCATTTTGCCCTGAGAAAGAAATAAGCCTTAACATTGGGTTAAGGGAGGGAGGGTTAGGTGAGGGATAGGTTCGCAAATCTTATACTGATCTGCAATTAAGGTTTGACCCTCTTTAGCAGCACTCTGAGAACGTTTTCTCACTCAAATACAAAGTAATTTGTCTTGGTTCTTGAACTAACCATGGTTTGTAAAAAAAAAATGCCTGACAGAGTATAACAGCCTTTAAAAATCTGTGAAATTTAACTTTGCAAGATTTTATGCGAGGGAATTGACAACGCATTAATAATTAAAACCAGAAGCATCAACAACATCGCTTTTTGCACCATAAAAGGCAAAGTTTTTAAAATTCTTTGATGAGAGTTTTTGGCAACAATGCGTGGTTGCTAGCCCTACTGGGAGCGTAAGGTAAGTTGGAGTAGTATAGGTGCATACTTTGTGCATTTCAAATCACACTCTGGAACATTACAATAAGTTCAATTGAATAAGACCGGCCAAGTCTTCCAGCGTTAGGTGAATTGCATAATTTTGTAGCTTTTATTATTTATTGCATCAGTAGAGATTTCAATTAATTAGGCTCAGTAAATTTCCATTCCTCAGTGACCATATTCAAAAAATGGAGATCAATAAAAATTTTTTATCTCAACTTGCGTTTTTGTTTTTGTAGCCGTATAATTTCTAAAAATACAGATCGAGATACATTTGTAAAGCGTTTTATTTGTAATAAAAACAAATCAGTCTGTTTTCAACCTATCCCACTGGTATTAGTATTATGAAGGAAATAAAGGGAGATGTAAAGAATCAATGATAAGAGATCTGAGCCCCAGATGGGATTCGAACCCAGGACCCTCCGGGTTAGAACATCCGATCTAGAACAAACAACGATTTGCGAAAGGTGTTCAGAGGAACATAACCGACATTTTTAAGGCTTGAATAATTACAGATAGCATAAATATCTTTTCCATTACATTTTGTACTCTAGTTACTGTTTACTGCACTTGCAAAATAGCGAAAAACGCTTTACCTTACAACTTTTAACTTGCAGCATTGCGCTGTAGCTCGTTTCGTTTTAAAACAGTGATTTGTCTAGGACTCTACTTACTTTGTAGCTGAGATGTACAATGCTGTCTGAAAGACAGTGTCTTTGTACTGTGAATTAAAAATTTCAGTGCAGTTTAAAGATGAGTGTAAACCTGGTTTTAACTACCGAGCACTTAAAACTGTAAGTGGAGTCATAAAAGTAACGTCATCATTGTGACCGCCTCTTCTATACGGACACATCTCTAATACGGACACTTCGCTCTGTCCCTCGGTCTCTGTATTAGAGAGGTTCGACTGTATTGTGAACGCCTAGCAGCAAGACTGAGAACTGCCCAAAGCATTTTTTAATCAATTTTCTCTGATTAATTTCTTCGTGGACTACACTTAAACCACTGAAACTACTGGAACTGGTTTCATCTCCTCTTTTTAGGCTGTAAGCTTTAGTTCGAGAGAACTGGCGGAGAATTCGACATCAGTCTAATACCCCTTACCATATAAATCGTGAAGGTACTCCAAAAAATTCTCTGCACAACAGCCACAGGGCACGAAGAAAATATACGGAGATTTCCATGCAGATATTTGAGCCGTGGTTAAACACATTTTTTGTCAAATCGTCCTTATATAAGAGTAAAGATACTTATCAATACAAATTTGGTAGCGTTAAGGTATATTAATGCCGTGTTTAGACTTGAGCTTGCTACCGAGGTATTGGAGTTAACTTACCTAGGTAAATATTTTGCGTGTGTAAACGCCAACTGATACCCTGGTAAACACCGCTCAAGACAATAGAAAGTTAACTAAGGTAAAAGTTCGGTTTGCCCTGCGAAAAGGCATGGTTAAGGTCGGTAACCAAGGTTTGGATGACAGATACATCCGCTTGCGGTCGCATAGAATTTCAAATCCTGTGGTGTCGGGATTGCGTCAGGCTCATTCGATCACGTTTTCGAGACCAGGTTTTCGAGACTAGGTTTTCGACCAGGTTTCCACGTTTGGTTTCGGTCTACGAAGAAGTTATGGCAAAAACCAAAGACACAAAAGACACACCATTCTTCAACAAAATTTCCGTTTAATAGAGTTTCGAACCAGAATTGGTTTCTCGGCCACGACCACGCACGTCTAACGCGCCTTGTCTTGCGAAGGGCAATTTGTAGCAGAATTAATCGCTTTCGCCTCCACCTCTTTAGGTGCTGCAAAAGTAAGAGCTGCTGCAAACTCGATCCCTGGGTTTGCTGATCAAGAACAAGAAAATAAAACGCGAGGACTACAAGAGCCACAGCTTCTCTTTTAAACGCGAGCATTTATGCGTGGATTTAGAATTTGCCGCCAATTCGATTAGATTGTGATTGATGACAGACTTACCTTAGTTATTTGAGCCCGTATAAACACTGTAGAAATGTACCAGGGTTTAGTCAGTTAATGTTTACCTTGGTAAACGCTTGAGTGTAAACACAGCATAAGAGAGAAAAATGCTCACTTCCGGTTGACAGAAACGTCACTAACGGTTTGGGACAGTAACATGGCGGACGTGACATCATGTGAAAAGGCTCTGCGTTTTTAGAGTCTTGGAGGAATCAAGTGTATTGGAGGGGGGTGGGATTAATATTGATAAAGAGAAAAGAAGCAAGTACCCCCACCCACCGAGGTAGAAACCGAGTAGCCTGCAATGTACCTTTTCATTCAGTTATCAATATAACCTTCTTTCTCAAACAAGCATGGGATAAAAAAAAGTCCTGTTTCTGATGTAAATCATTACCAAAATGCTGTTCCTTTTTCTCTTTAGGTAAAAGATTGGCTTCCCGAGGACGGAAAGGTGGTAAAATTCTACAAGGGAGACTCGTACATCATCCTTCATGCTGAATACAAAAAAGATCCTCAGGGAAGACTCAGAAAGGAAGTTAGTATAGATAAGCTGAACTGCTTAATCAACAAAATGGGTTTATACAATAATGTCATAAGGCATTTGATGCTCTACACAGGCAAGTCGTAGATCCCCAGGTCAGGGGCAGGACAAGGAGGTCCTTTGCCTAACGGGCAGTTTGGTTTCCTTCCGATCAATACCCTGAGCTTCACATCAATGCACTTAAAAAATCATCGGAACTTTCAAAAAAGCCAGACGAGAACCTCCTTATTGTATAGCAATAACCTTGAGTGGCATTAACTGAATGTTCTCTTTGAATTGAATTTTTTCAGGCTGTAGACTATGACATCCATTTCTGGATTGGAAAAACGTCCACACAGGATGAGTACGGAACAGCTGCTTACAAAACAGTTGAACTAGATAGTAAAGTAAGAAACAAAATATTATAATTAACGCACTAATGATAACGATAACGATATAACGATAATGATAACGATATAATGATAACGTACCCAATAAAATAAGTAATCGATCCTTGACCTTCAAGCAAAGTAAGTCAGATCAGTTCAAATCTGCTTGGCACTGGTTTTTCTTTTTATTTCGAGCTTGGCATTACAGTGGCATTGGTTGTATTTCTTGCTTATAATACTGTTTGCATTCTTCAAGCGCTTGTACCGGTTGCATTTCCCGCGTCTGGCACCGGTTGCATTTTTTCTGCGCTTGCAGCTCAAAGCACTGAAACATAGCATTTCCAACCGAACGTTTCTCACTCCGAAAAAGTTAATTAGCCATGTGAAGCGAAGACACCTGCTATGGAAATGTTCTTTATTATTCAATTCTGCAGTTGGGAGATGAAGCGGTGCAACATCGGGAAGTTGAGGGATGTGAGTCTGACGATTTCAAAGAATATTTTAAGAAGATGGGAGTAAAATTCGAAACCATTGAAGGCGGGTGAGTTGAGTTAAAGCTGGAACTGTATGGCATTACGGGATTGCCCCTCAATTTGCTTAAATCATGTTTACCCCATAGGCAGCATCAGTTTATTGTACATAAAAGCAGCATTTCAAAATCCAAACGGTAACCTGTGTAGTACCTCAGGGGTCTGTGTTAGATCCTTCACTGTTTCTTATGTAAATTAAAGATAGCCATTGAGCTACAAGTGTGCGCTGATGGCACTTTAGTCAGTGCTGCATCAGAATTCGGCGACTCTAGGCGTTTCTTCATGGATAAATCAAGACTTAGTTCACACTAGAAAGAGATTATTGTACGATATTTATAATTACCTATCACGGCTAAGGCACGAGATCAGTAGATATCTCCTTAAACTTCTTAAATGGGATAATCTAGCCTCGTAAAAGGGCCAAGAACAACCTTTTTCCTATGAGCTGCGAAGGTAATCCAAACAAATCTTGCACTTGGCTAGAGGAAAAACCTTTAAAAGTTCTTTAAAATCTGAGAGCACTAAGTTCTTAAAAAATATTCCTGTTATTGCTTCTTTTATAAGTATTTGGTATTTGAATTATAAGTATTTGAATATTACAGAGGAAGAAATTTGTCGACATAATGTCGTGCTTTTGTTTGTTCTTTAATGAAATTGTACTTATTTACATACGGCTTTCCCGTAAATGCGTTTTTTAACTTACTGAAGCTACCGTAAAGACATAAAGGCGATTGATTCATTTTTTTTCCTTTTCACGTTAACAGCATTGCCTCTGGATTCAGGCATGTTGAAATCGGAGCTGTTGACAAGGCAGTCACTGTGGTACATTACAAACCGTCAGCTCAAAAGAAGGATCAGTTCCAGGAAATTTTTATGGAATATGAAAGGAAGAATCTGTGCTGTGATGATGGATTTTTGATAATATTCTGCCATGATCGTTATTACAAGGTACATTTCTGTTTCTATCAAATAATTATAAATATTCGAGTTATCGTCTGTTCTTCAATTCACTTGTCCGGCGCTCGATACAAAACTACAGTGTCTGGCTATATATCTTCTAGATGCTGTAATGGGACACCCAATGAAGTCCATTCTCATCATCATACCGCGATTATGATTCACAAGATTACACACAAAAAGCTTCCCCCTGGGGGATTTCACCTAACTCGTAAAACTGCGGCTTACAACCTCAGAGACTCTAACTTAATTTAGCACTGGAAATCCAACACCGAATACCTGAAAAAGAGCTTTTTGCATAGCGGTGCAAAGTCGTGGAATTCTCTCCAAACTATGATTAAAGCCTGAACCGTCTTTCTTGGTTTTAAGAAATCTTTGCGCAGTCACGGTCTCCAGGGCACTAATTAATTTTAGTTGTCTACCTGCCTACCCTTATACCTGTCTACCCCTCCATTAAGCTGTCTGTCAGTCCTTCCACCCCTCCATCCGTCTGTCCGTACGTCAATCCACTTATCCCTCTGTCCTTCCTGTCCGTCCGTCCGCCCATCTAGCTATCTATACCTATATCTGTTTGATTATCTGTCTGTATGTCTTCGTCTCTATCTATTCAGGTACCTCTCTCTGAGATAAACAAATCCTTTATTTAAACACCATAACAATTAAACACAAGCACGTAAAAGCTTGTGAGACCGTGTAAATCACAACCCGCCATGATACGTTCTTGTTGATACATTTTTGACCAAAAAAGAGACTGATAGTTGGCGCAAGCAGGGGTTTCACATTGTAACTGAGATATTTTCATCGGGTACACGACGACCACGCGCACACTTATAGCGAACGCAAAGTAGACAGGTTAGAAATTTTCAAACAAAACTGGACCATTATGTTTGGGTTTTCTTTGACTCCAATGTACTTTTAGGACAAAAAGCAACACCAAATATGGTGAGTCAGCTGCCTTACGGTCAACCGATACATAACTTATTGTTTATTTTTTTCTAGTTAAAGGGTAAGAATGTTCCATTAGCCTTCAACGAGCAACCGATCATCAACGCCATAAAGGCGTTTCAGGTATCACTAACTTAACATACATATTAATAAAAGTAATAATACGGTTGTTTTAATTAAGATCAAGATAGGAGGCCGGTTAGTCTCTCAAAGAAAAGCCTACATGCGACTAACAGAGTTGCGGTGATTAAGACCCTGCTAGTAGCTGCTAATGGTAACCTAAAGTACGTTTCAACGTCAAACAAAAACAGACCTACAAATATTTGCGTCTACTTTTTATGTTATTTACAGCTCCGTAAATATGATTAAAATATTTGAGTCAACATCAGTAAGATTATCCATCGTTTCCTTCCTTACAGGAAACAAAGTATCCCAAAGCATTCACGGCGGAAACTTTCGGTAAGACTTAATATAATAAGTCAGTTTACTACCGTATTCACTAGCGCCTTGAATCAAATAATCACTACAGGAGCAAGACGGTCCTTGTGTTCGGTGTTCAAGACATCCTTGACGTAAAGCCCGTAACCAATATTTTAAAATGATTTTACCCACCGTAGAAAAAACAAATTTTAATTGGCCATTCCGAGTTCCAAAACCCTTACTTTCAAAACGAGGCTGATTCAAAATCTTTCTTGAGAAAATGAGTTACATTTGCATGAGAATAAAGAATCATTTTTTTATAAATGGCTTCGCACTTAGCCTCGCTTTAAAACAGAGGCTGCAGGCAACTCGGAAAAGGCCCAATCCTATGGTAATTTTCAACAGATATCGCTTCAAATTGTGCGAGAAAAAAACAAAGGGAAATGAACTAAAGCTGCCTTATAAACGAACTGTAGTGTCTCATAAACTTTGAAACATGAGGCGCAGACGGTAGGTTTTAGACTGTCAAAAAAGCACGAAATGCAGTTTTATTGAACAGTTTATCCTCTAAAGCTTCGTGAAAATAAGAATTTATCCTCTACTCTTCTTAATTTGTCTCCTTTCATTCTTATATAGATCTGGTTCTTCCAACAATCCTGAGTTATAAGATTACTTAGACTAGGAATCTGAACGAATTCTTTAGGAGTTTTTACATGTTGTTTGCTCTATTACAGACAGTCAAGAGGAACTCGAAAAAAGTGACATCTACAAGGTAGCCATTTTAGTTGGGGTCATTAGTTAGAGTGAAAATAAGGGCTCAAAAAGCAAGAAATTCTTTCTGTGGGTCAAAATTTTATTAATATTTAGTATATACTAAAACATTGGTTAGTGTTTTTTCCTACTTTCCTGGCGCGCTTTTAGTGTCTGTCACGTGTACTGACTATAAGCTCTCAATGGCTAATTTCTCAGACACTTAGCGCTAATTGCGCTTGTTTAAGAAGTCCTGCTCTTTTCATTATTAAACTGATAAGGAGGCTAGAATTAAGAGGATCTTAAAAGAATAATAAAAAATTTTAAAAGTGAAGTTAAGGGGCATTTTGTTTCCTTTCTATTGACAGAAATCTCCCCAGTTTGTTGTAAAGTTGGTCAGGTATGTTGTTATAAACCATCTCTCTCCTAACAGAAAGGCTTACTTCCTACGTTTTTATTACAGGACGCCATTCCTTCTAGTCTAATCAAATTAAACACCACTTTTTGTCCAATTCTAAACCTTTTATTTAAAACGGACAGGAGATTGCCTAGCAACAACAGGATGTAGCTCCCATGTCCCAACCGAAAACTCATACCGTCAACTCTTTCCTAGACGAACACCTTTAAGATCGGCAATAAGTGCCCGTCTTAGAGAGATGTTCGTTTTATAGAGTGTCAACTGAAAGGAGTAAAGAAAGGCAGGGACCAACTCTAGGTGTCCGTTAGGTAGGGAGCCTCTCTTAGTGTTCGTTTTAGCGAGGAATTTGTCTTATAGAGAGTCAACTAAACTAACGAACTGCAGGAACCAACTCTAGGCGTCCGTTTTAGCGAGGCGTCTGTTGAGAGAGAGGTGACTGTGTATCGTGAACCCCGCACTACGGACACTGTGACAGGGTCCCTTTGGTGTCTGTGTTTAGTAACCGGGTTCCACTGTACTCTATTTATACAGAGTGACAGGCACTGAGACGAAGGAATTTGGCTTCAAGGTCGAAGGAGAATTCAATGACTTACAGGATTTTGTAGATGATGCAAAGAAATTGGATAGGGATGATGGTACGTTACTCTTCCGGCATCCTTGGAGTCCGAGGGGTATTCATTCAATGGATGGGGGAATTTAGATCGTTGATACGTACTACTCGCTTATTGGGCAGAAAAATATCGCCATTTTACTTACTTAACCCGCGCAAATGTAATCATACGGGGTAAAAAGTAAACAAAAGAGAAGAGCGACATTAGAGTGTAATACTGCGTATAAGTCTACTATCTATTTCATGGGTTAATTTAAAATGAATCTTAAAAAAAACATATTTCTGCCCAATCACGAAGCACCATTCCGTAAGAATAATTGTCCTGGGGCCCTTTCGTTTATTTTTCAAGAGTTCAGCCGGTTTTTGTTAAAAACCTCCAGATGATCCCGACTTAATGCCCCTTGGTCTCCGGGTTTGGTTGCTGTGTCGGTAGTAATTGAACGGTTATTTTGAAGGGCTCAGCTTAACCATTTAGCCCTTATTACGGACTGCAAAAGGTCAGTTTCTAGAGATTTGCCTACATGGTAGAGATTATACGAGTTACGATGTTATAGAGGGGGACGAAAATGTTTTTCCTCTTTATTACAAGCCTGTTAATCTCGGAAAACACAATCATAAGCAGCAGGAGTCATAGTTTTCGCATCGTCCTGAAAAATGCCAGAAAATAAAATGATACTCAACTTCATAAATGTGTTGCGAACTGTCATCAAAACCTTTTCGTCCTCGTTAGCCTGATAAGAGGCGTTTTAGGAGAGTAAACGACGGCTATGAAGGACAAAAGGCCCCCACAACGACAAAAACACGTTCCATGTATAAATCCACGTTAATTTGACTTAACGCATGCGCAGGAGCGGATTTTGTTGTCTCCTGCTTGGTTTAAAAGTTTGAGAAAATATCAAAGCGACAGAAAAGAGAAGGACTTGTTGTAATTTTAAGTTTTTTTCTTAAAGTCTTCCTCATCGAGACAGATGGACGCCTGTTTGTGTGGATCGGTAAGGATGCCAGCTCAAAAGAGAAGCAAAATGCCATGTCTTACGCACAAGTAAGTGACGAAGCAACGTTTAATTGTCATCGTATAAAATTGTGAAACGTTTGAAAAGGCAGCTACCTTGAATACCAAAGAGCTGATTTTCTTTTGCGACACCTTTATGATATTTTGTCAACTGACTGCCTGCACTGTTTGACTAGTCGTTTCTCAATCTGTTGGAGCGAGAGGACATGCGTCTGTTCGATCTGAAATGATTTTATAACCATTATCTTATAACTACTATATGTGCAAGAAAGGTACAGAAGGTATTTAAGAAGAACTCCCTTGGTTTGGAAAAACAGTCTTAAAAACATTATTACCGTCTAGAATTCGCAAACACCCACCATGGTCAAAGGGATCTACATCTTTGGAAGAGCTTTACGTATAAACTCGTAATTCAACACTCTAGTTTCTATCGTTTTGTTTTATTATTTCCTACAGAAATACTTGGATACTCTGGCCCAGAATAAGATGAGTGGCATCACTGTTTATAAAGATGAATGTGGAAAATGTCCACCTTTTGTCAAATCATTGAAAAATAAAAGAGGTAAGTCAATTGCTATTAAATTATAAGGAACAAACAAGCTGTCGCTATAATAAAGTGCAACTTACATCTGATATAAAAGACATTACGAAGGTAACGACGACAACATGGTGATGACGCTGATGAAAATCATTACGACAAAGACGACGATGATGATGATGACGATGACGATGACGACAACAACGACGACGACGACGATGATGACGGTGACAATAGCGACGCCGACGCCGACGCCGATGACGATGACGACGACGAAGAGGCAATAGGGAGCTTAAGCAACGACGACGGCGACGTCAACGAGAACGGGGAAAAAGCAATAAGTTTAGATTGGCAAAACAACAACTTTGCACGTGCATCACGCTTTTTTGTACATTTCTTTGCCCTCACCGCACGACTGCAACGTGAAAATGCCTAATTTCACGTTTTGTGGAGAACGTGAACACAAGAAACGTCTTTCTTTTTCTTTTCCTGAACTTCGATACAGTCTTTTAAAATTCAACTCCAGCTAGAAACATTTGCCAACATTTGACGAATTGAACGAGATGGAATAAGCGCGATAAAGTTGGAAGCAGCGGGAATTCACTTTTGAAGTGACGTTTTCGTAGCCGTCGCCGTCGCCGTTGTCGTTGCTTAAGCTTCCTAATGATGATGACGACGACGACAAGGACGATGATAATGATAATGATAACGATGATGATTGTGCTGGTGATATCATAAAATTCCTACAATAATCCCCGAGGTTTTCATTTTTAAACAGCCTTTTACGAAATATAAGAAGGGAGGAGGGAAATTTCCGACTGAAACTCTTGGGGGGAAATTTGCATGAGCAATTTTTTTGCAAGTGTTACCGTTTTTCACGCGACGTATGACTCCAACAGACAGATGATGTTTAAATTGTTTCTACATGTTATTGTCATGACGATTTCTTAGTTTATAGATAAATGTTTGTGATCACTTAGGTCCGACGTTATTTTAACCCCAAATGACAGACGATCGAGGTGGTTTACAAATTGTTTCTAAATGACGCTTAGGTCCTATTATTGCATTTACGCCTTCAATATTGTTGCAATTTTTCCCCAGGAACAGTCATTACTCTATGCCCAATGTATATTACTGGGAAATCTTTGTGTGATGGTCGAAAATTCAGCTTTGCATAGTAATGTTATGTCCAGAGTTCTTGGACAACCGGCGACACACCCTTGTAGGAAATTTAAGGAATTACCTCCCCGTGAATATTCGCTTACTTTCCCGGATGTATCCACTTCCTTCGTGACTTGATGGTGTTTTTTTTTTTTACGTAGGGGCGGAGAAACGGGGAAACAAAGGCCGCCTTTAGAATCAGTTCCACAAGTAGCTGCCGGATGCAGTAACAAGACGCCTTCCATAATCCGCGGCTTCAAGGATGTTTATGAACCCTTTGATTGCAGTTCTTCGCATTTATTTTGGATCTTTTACAGGTTTAGAGAATAGTAGAAAAAAGACTTAGTCGTAACATTTGACATCATGCAGAAATGCACCGCCATGTGTCATGACGGTATCTTTTTGTTAACTAGCCTGCACCACAGATGAACTAAACTTCTGTTTACGTCCGTCTGAGAAACAGCGCCGAAATCCTTGTTCTGAGCCCTTACCTGTGTACCAGGATTTGAGTACGCGCCTCGATTAGTCTGTTGAAAACCAATTGTCAATTTGTCAATCAGTTTGAGGGGAAATTCAAAACGTATTCACGGTAATCCGTTAAGTTGAGTCCGTTGGGGGCCCAGAGCAGAGATATCGGCGGCATTGCTTCGCAGACCTTACTAACCGGGTTTAGATCACGTCTCCGACACGGGCTGTTCTTTAAGGGACCGGTCGTTATTCATCGCCGAGGGGGGCGGAGGATTTGGGGCTAAACATCGTGAAATTGAGCCGATCCCCCGATCCCCCCTAATAACTTTTGATGACTTTCGTGATCCCCCCAACATGTCTTCATTTTCCAAGCAAATTTGAGTGGTTCCCCCTCTGAATCCTTCTAAAATTTTCAGCGATCCCCCCTTTTGGGTTCTCAGTTACGACTGTTCCCCCCTTTTGTTCTCCCAAAAATCGAGTAATCCCCCTAAAATCCTCTGGCCCTCCCGACGATAAATAATGACCGGTCCCTAGGAGACAAAAATTGAAAATTACGAAAACAAATGATTAGTGCATGTTGTAATAGAATAAATACGGCAAATAAAGCTTGACTCAGTTCTTTTGCGTCAGTTACAATATTTCGTAAAAACGATTTGATGCATTTAAATTATGATATCTTCTTGGTGATTTAAACTTTGACGAAAACCTGTCCTACACTAACAAAAGGGCAGTTTTTTCGGCATACAATTTATTACTGATTACTTTCTCATTTAAAAACAAAACGCGCATGGTTGTCAATTTGAAAAAAGGTTACTTTACAATATTTCAGTAATATCTTTTACGTTAACCTCACGTTTTTTGTTTCCGTGCACTTGTATTGGCTAAACGGGCCAACAAAAGACCACGTGACACTTGATCCTCTGTTAAGATAGATACTGCAGGGTTGATTTATGCTTAACGCAAGAAAGGCGTATCGGTCAAGATAGTGATTCGGCTACGTTATAAAATGCATTTTGTCTTCGTTCTCGCGATGGCTTATTTTGGGGATATTATCGTTAAGAAAAGCGGGTCCTGCTTGCGCTTCTCGCTCGTCTCCAGCACCCCGCTCGGCTACAAACATCCTTGCTGCCCGCTAAGCCTTAGGGAAAACCAATTCACAAGGAACTGACAACTCTGATAATGTCATTTCGTTGAAGTGGCTATGGCTTATTAACAAGGAACGCAGCTATTTTTTTCCCAACAATTTTTATGATAAGTAGAAAAACAGTGATGAATCCAAACCTAATGCTAAGAGGCCAGGGTAAAATCCTCAAGTAGAGACACAGGCAATTAGACAGAAAAGCTGTCACTGTCTTTCTCGAAAATCAAGAGTTATTACTTGAAAAAGTGTCTTCTGGACATTCTTGTGACAGTACATATACTGTCCTGTAGATTGTGTGGTGGCAAGCCCAACCCTGACTAGAATCCGGTTTCCAACATCCACCGAAAAACTTTTAAAAACGTGAAAGTAAAATAAGAAACTAAAACAATCGATAGTAAACACCCGTAGGTAGTACGAAAAACGCTGACCTTCAAGTCAACCAATCAAACGCACGCCACTGTGTATCGGCAACAAACACTCACCAAACTAGCAAGCCCTTGCAAAAAAGCACAACTGGAGCATCATAACTTGGGGTTATTAACAATGGATGCCTTACTAGGAAATCACAGGCGAAATCACAGGCGAGTCTAGAATGTTTTAGCCATATGGCAACTCAATCAAATGTGTCTTACTTTGACTTTGAGTAAAAATCTAAACTTAATTTCCTGCGTGTTTTAAAAGTTTTAAACACAAATGAACGTAAATGATATAGCTTCTCACTGAATATTTAAGACAAAGCGACCCTCGTAATATAAATGGTAACGTATACTTAAAAAATATGAATATTATTCTCCGAAGTATCTCGAAAGTCAGCTCGTTGGCCAGATCGCCCATCAACTCTATAAACTTTTGACATAAAGCGCCGAGTATGCATTATCATGAAATTACTCTGACTATGAATCAATCAGAGCTCACCTCACGCCACTTGCTTGTTCAAGTGAATAAGGTGAACCACTAAAACGCAGCGTGTACGAGACTGAAGTTGACAGAATCTAATCTGTTCTTTCCAAAAATAGGTGCTATACAATAATATGACAGCTGGGCTTTTGCTTACCAGCGCCACATTAGACACGAGTTGTTATTTCCCTTATCGGATCTGAAGGTTGCATTTTCACTCAAGTGTACTGTTAAAAATCCTCTACCGAACAAAAAACGCTTCCTCAGGTATTTTAAAATAGTTCACACCATCAATCATGAGCAGACTGGTGAAACAGAAGGAGTACGACTGGAAACACTCAAATATTGCAAATATTGGAAGCAACCAAGACATACTGGTAAGTTCGTATTTTTCAACATCAAACATCATTAAAGGTACCGGTCAAGTGTTCTGCATTTTGGTGAATGTTTTGCAAGCATGGTAGAAAAAAAGACATTTTTTTAGGCGAGAAAGAATGCTGCCTTATGCGAGCCAGCCTGGAGCGAGACAAAGAAAATGCAAGAGAATGGACTGAAAATTTGGAGGATCGAAAAGTTTGAGGTAAAAAAGTTGTTTGATTTATTTTGAAACACCTGTCAATTGCAAAGAGTTATTAAAGCTTGATAGGGGACCTGACCTCGAATGCGAAAAGCCCTTTTAAAGGATGGTTGTGTCGTTCTTTGTACAGGCAAAGATATATTCAAAATAATCTGACTTTCTGCAACAAACAAAAAATTTTAAACTTATTTGATTAGTAGACTGATTAATATTCATGAATTAAAGAGACATTTGTACGATAAAAAGTTCTTCATGGGTTGGCTTCCTAAGGCTTTTTTTTCTCTTGACGCAAGGAGATACGACACACAATACTTAAAAATAATTCATGGCGATAAAGTCCAAACTGTGACAATGAAAGACATGAAATAAAAACTTCACAGATTGGGGAAGCATTTCCTCTGTTAAAGTTTAGGACACGTGTCAGCTCTTAGACTTAGGTAATATAGCACTAAACTCACACATCTAACTGCAGGCAAACTTAAAACGTCACTTGTTCTTAATAGTTCGTACACTCCGCAGTTCATTAGTTCTTGGCCCGTTTTAACAAAAAAATAGAGCTTTCACGTTTCTAGATCACTATCGCTCTTTAAATCTTAAAAAAGATTATAATATAAACACAATGTTTGAATTTTGTGGTCTTGACGAAAATAAAGGCTAACTCAGTGCGGAGTGTAGGCTAGGCTGGTAATCAAGCCTATCTGGGGTGTTAAATCTCGTAACTCTGTCTGAAAACTCCTGAATTTAATTGAGATGTTTGCGTTGTGACTAGCATTTCCCCGAATCTGTTGCCGTTAGATTTTTTATTGCTTTTTTACCAGGTGAAAGAATGGCCGGAGGAAAAATACGGAACATTCTTCAGTGGTGACTCATACATCATTCTTCACACGGAGAAAGCATCTCCAGATTCAGATGTTTGTATTTGTTTTCAGTTCACTTTTTTAGAGTTATTAGTCTCTCTGTATAAGCTCATAGGTAAGATAATTATTGCGGCCAAAATGGATACTAATGATACAAACACCAGCCCGTGATTTGTCTTGGAAGTCAGTGTGGCTAAATTTGAATTCAATATGAAACTCAACGGTCCCGTATTCGATTGTTACTCATTGCTCGCATTTAGAAAAGTCCAGTAGTGATTGACAGATTGACTGGTTTTGACTGTTTTTGTTTTGTTTTGTTTTTTTTTTTTTGCTATTTACACTCATAAAGTAAATGTAAGCAGCTGCAGAATGCAAGCACCGTGATAGTATCACCAGAGACTCTACTGACCCCCCTGTCTAGGCCGGAAGTTTTTTTGAAGGTTTTTGTAAGCAGCCCTTCCGCCCCTGAAACAGACAAGAGATATTAGACGGAAAGCACGTGACAAGGAAATAAATCCAGTTTATGGCAATCCTTATTTCGACCAGATATGATAGGCGAGCGCCATATTGGACAACGTAACGAACCTTTTAGAAAATGACTCCATGTATCACATTTATTTCGTATCATGGTAAAACCACTTTGCGCTAAGTGTTACGGGTATAATGGTTTTGTTTAATCTTAATTTCCGGCATCTGAAACCTTTTCACGTTTCTGCAAGAACGGAAAATCCGGCAATGCTTACTGAACACATTAAGAAATCAAGCCATGCCAATAATATTAAATATTAATTAACATTCAGTAATTCACAATGCATTTATCTTTAAGGTGATATTTTATGATGTCCATTTCTGGATTGGAAAACATTCCACACAAGATGAATACACAACTGCCGCGTACAAAACTGTTGAACTTGACGCCTATGTAAGGAAAGACTGGAATGCATACGTAGCTTTAAAATGCGTCTTTGTATTCCGCTATAAAAAAAATGGTTCGAATGAAACGACAAAGAAAAATCCTGTCTTCTAATTCAGTTGGAAGCAACTAAATGGAAAATTGATCGCGACTTTTGAAACAAGTGATTTCCCGCCCCTCCTTTCAGTTTTCCAGGCGGACCGCCACCCAGTTAGCTTAGTTTGATGTGCGCCGGTCTGTCGAGCAGGAGGCCGCTGGTTTAAAACCCGGCCGGACCGAGACTCAAGGTCTTTAAATAACTGAGGAGAAAGTGCTGCTTTTGAAAAAACATCTGAAAAGTTAACCTTTCTAGTCTTCTAGCCCTTCTAGCCCCGTCTTCTATCCCTTGCACATATAACAAATTCCATGGGGCGCTAAAGAACCCACTCACTGTTCGCAGAGAGTAGAGGATGTGCTAGTCCACAATGTGGACTTTATCGATTTAACGTTCACATTAGGAGGCATTTATAAGTCATTACTTCATTGACAGTAAACTGCAGCAGGCACTGAACACCCAACCGTTTCAGCAAATTATCCCAGAAAAGCCCTGAGGCAGGTGGATGGTAAGATATTTACAAAACTAGGGAGCATTGGTTACACATTCTTCCCGCGTTTGGCGATTACCCACTTTATGATTTTTACCCCGTCTGAGGGCATGGGAGAGCCATAATGGCTCTTGGTGATAGGGAATAGCAGTATGAATGTTAATCTTGAGCTTATTGTTCTAAGTAACGCATTAGCATGGTCGGCATTTTAACTTCCTCCTAAATAAATAAAATAAATAAATAAATAACGATTTGCAGGTAGCACATCCACATAGTGGTTCTTCGTCTACCTGATTCCTGGTCGAATTGGAATTTGGAAATATTGGTTTTTGAGGAGAGGGAAAAACCGGAGTACCCGGAGGAAAAATCTCTCGGAGCAAGGGAGAGAACCAACAACAAACTTAACCCACATATGGCGTCGACGCCGGGATTTGAACCCGCGCCAGATCGGTGGGAGGCGAGTGCTCTCACCACTGCGCCATTCTTGCTCCCCAAAGTGTACCTCGTGGCCTAACTATTGTTTTGATACCTTGACTGATGAAATGAAGACCTTCTCTGTTCAATATTCATGAAATGTTTCCCTTCCATCTCTACAGTTGGACGATAAAGCGGTCCAGCACCGTGAAGTTGAAGCCTTCGAGTCTGAGGCATTCAAGGAATACTTTGTCGCTTTGGGAGGAATCAAAATAGAAGAAGGCGGGTGAGTTAAATCAAGAAGAAATGAACATTAAACTTGCATGAGAATAAAATCGTTTTTAATACGAAAAATTTATTGTGAGATGCGTCCCATGTAAGGTACTCCAAGACAGTCTTGGATTCTGGATTCTTTGTAAGTGAAACTGTGGAACTTGGATTCCGGATTCCAATCGTTAGCGCGATTCCAGACTGCAGATTGCTGAATTCCGGATTCCAAAGCCCAGGATTCCACATCCTACAAGCAAAATTTTCCTTACATGGGACAGGTGAGAGCGCGCGCACCACATCTGGCCATTTTTTACAACAAAAAGAACCTTGAAGTTTGTGAATCCGAGTCCCTCCCAAGATTAGATCCAAGGCCATGGTAAGGTCACCATCATTCACAGCCCTTAAGCTAAAAAAACTTTCAAGTGCCAGGGCGCCAAGAATGTCAATCAGATTTCGAACTCTTGCCCACGGTTTTAATAGCATTCTGACTCATTGAACCATTTCATACATGTACTACAGACGTGAGAGACGAAAGCACACTAGCGCGTGAAAATGTATTTTCCACTGGACCTTCTGATTGGTTCCTCTAGATCATAAATTCGTCCGCGTAGAATGCGTTCTTTCTCTCTCTCGCATTCCTCTTTCACTATCTCACTTGGTTGGAATGCCTGAGCATCCAACTATCAAATAGTGTTGTTTGTTTTGTAGGTGTTTTATTTAAGAGCAAAATAATTGACGTTCGTTTGAGCGAAACGAATTAGAACGTAATCCTCTTGTAGTCTGAATTAAACTTATGAAAATAATGACGGATAAAAACGCTTTTATCCTTATTGGATGGTATATCCTAACTAAAACCAACAAACAACAAAAACGGCCCATCATATGACCACCATACCTGGAGTAAGTATAATTTCGCATCCAGATTTCACACCAACAATCAGATACAGTTTTGATACTCTCACTGCGGCAATATCATCCTTCTGTAGACAAAGGGGATAAAATGGGATTAGGGAACACAATTCCGTGTAAAACATTACAATAACTGACTAGTATTCCATACACTCATTAGCTATAATTAGTGGTAACACTGTGGAAGCTTTGCTCTGACTTGTCAGCCTTAACCTGTTTAGCAGGTGTCGGTTTTTAAGGGCGAGAGAAAGAAATTACAAGGAAGCGCGCACGCACGAGGGAAGAAAAGGAAAAAAGGCGTGTTCACTCTTGCGTTCCATAAAAAAAATAATAACCAGAAACACTGACAGGCGCCTACCACCATAGTTAATAAAGTGGAATGGTTATGAAACCGGACAGACTTCTTTGTTAGATGTTTTTTGGACCTGACTGTGTACAACGTTCAATAGCCTATCATTTTGAGTTTACTGACCAATAGAAACATCGCATTAATTTATTCATTCACAATTTGTGAACTAAAAACAAAGGATTGTGCACGGTCAGGGAGCTTTCAACATAAACTGCAACACCGTTAATTTCATCTTTGATGTTTGCCGGCTTTCCTAACCAGTCTCCTCTACCAACTATGCTGCCGCACAGACTGCCTTTGTAAAGTTGGGTCTAAGATATTAGACAACTGCAGCAAACCTGCTCCCATGGATTTGAATCGTATTAATTAGAAATATTGCGGAATTCAGTAGCGTCGAAAACAACTGTTGTATATTGTGTGTTTCTCTCTCTAAACAGCAGTTCTAAAGTGGGCAACAGTGACACAATACTGATGCCCCCATTTGGATGAATAAAACAATGCAATCGGGAAAGTTTAGTCAATCGCTTGACAATACCTTGACAAATGGTGTTTTTATAATTTGGACAGAATTGAATCCGGATTTCGACACGTAGACTCTAACAAGCAAGATACTTTGATAGTTCATTTCAAAAAGTTGTGGAACGAGGAGTATGAGAGGTACACTTATGAAGCCATGTCGCCCCTGGACCCTAGACATCTGTGTTGTGACGATGGATTTTTGGTGATTTTTTCTGGCGAAGATCGCATTATCCAGGTAACCTTCTACTGAGGGAGTCAAAGGGCCAAATTTAAAGAAAAAGCAGGATAATTTACGTGGCTAGTATGTTATGAAGGGCAGAGAAAGTCCAAAATCTATCAAGAGGCCGCAATAGAGGAAGGGATAAGTGGCAGCATAATCAGTGCTGTCAACTCTTCCGAATAATCTGGGAGACTCCAGACTTTGGACCGTATCTTCCGGTTTCCAGATTAGAGTCTGACATCTCCCGGATGTTCGCCAAAGTTGCTATTTCTTGTACACTCGACCTTGCGACTAAAAAATTTCAGATATTTTGCGTTGTTTGAGCCACTGCGGGAACGTTTCCCCATGAATTCTGGTATGCCACTGTACTTTAAGCAATAATATGGCTAGATATGAACTGTTTATGTGCTATATACGTCGATCGGAATTAACGAGCATTTTTGGCACAAATGATGTCATTTGTCGTGTAATATGATGTCATCTATCATTTCTTCCCTATCAATTCTCAATATTTGATGACGTGGAGGCTTGACAGCCCTGTTAACATCCCCAGTAATTTACGAACCACTTTTTTCGTCCGGCAACTATGGTAACTGTCCAGAGGAAGGGACGAACTCTTAAATATTTCCATACTCAATCAACAGTCTACCCAATCATCATGCCCAATTTCGAACCACCTAGAAGGGTCAGCTTTTTAATTTCTACTGCAGTATTACGGCAAATGCACTAGAAACAGGCCATGTGAGTCATGTCCTGCATACAAATCTGGTACGCACGAGGAATACCCCTCTACGGGGGACCTCCGCCTACACGTCAGCTTCAAAATTTAAATTTTCAAGCAAAACAGCTCGAAATCCATTTCCATTTTCGTCGTAAATTCAGGTATGAAATATTGAAAGAAGGATCCCTTTCCAGGGAGCTCTTTCAACGCACATAACGCATTGCCTTAATATTTCGCTTTCACAAGCGGGCACAAAGTACAGTCTCAGACACGACACTCGGCGGAAAGAAAATAAAAAGCGACTGACATGGATAATTTGCTAGCCCGTAGTCGGATTTATGAAGTCACAGTAACATGTGCAACTTTAATTGTCCCTTTTACACCGCATTGTTAGGATAACTAAAACAATATTTCTTTATTGTTTTGAAGCTCCGGGGAAAAAACACTCCGATCAGTACCAATGTCCCGTTCAATAATTGGATGAGCAAGAAAAAGGTACCATCTTTAAGAAAAGTTGATCTCCTTCTTTTTTTTTTCAATAATTTAAAACTGGTCACATCTCCGTCTTTGTTACAGGCAGAATACCCCAAAGCTAGGCTTGAGGTGTTTGGTAAGTCATATTTTATGCTTTTAAATTCATTCAAACATTTCATGATGATGATGAAAGATACAGACCTCATAAGGAAACAGTTTAAGCTAAGAATACTACTAATGCATAGGGAGGACAAAGCCTTAGAGAAGAACACCTTTAAAAAGGTTATCAAGACTTAATCATTTTACCGTTTTGAGTGTGTAAATTCCTTTCTTTTAGACAGCGTGGAGGAGCTTGAGAACGATCAAATCTATGAGGTACCTCAAACCATCTCTTTTTGTAATGTAGTTATTTCAATTACTTGTCTGTGCCAGGAGCTTATTTAATGTTTATTTTTAAAATTTTAAATTTTAACGAAAATATGGTACGTGGTCAAAACAAAAGCCAATAAAATATTAGAACGGCTTAACTTTAAATAAGGGGATGGCAAGAAATAAATGGCACGCCTTTATAGTAAAAAATTCACTTAATACATCAATACAGTATTAGAGATTCCTTTTCTTTTCTTCCATGTATCGGTCAGTTGTGTTTTTAAAGGCAAAATGGAAGGCAATACCGTTCCACGGGCCAATACAGTACACAATGTACTGATATCATTCTTTATTTATATATGTTTTGCACCCTTTTTACTTACCCCAAGAAACCTTGTTTTTACAGCTGGTTTTATTGCCCAAACTGAAACAGGAAGAAGAAAAATTGGTAAGACACGGTTTGATCTACGACAGATCAGATCTACTACACATCTACTACTTGACCTACAAGGCCTGGAATCAATTTAAGAAAACTTTTACACTTGTAATTTACAATTGAAGCCTTGTTTTACAGTCTGAAAAGAAAAGCTACACTTGTAAATTACACTTGTACAAGTTTCATTAAATTGGCCTCAGTACTATTTTTTTCACACCCACTTGACATGTGATCCAGTCATCACTTTATCACTCAATAAACCTGACGCATGGCTACCATCTAATAACCTTTACTGTGAGATTAGGGACGGTGCTTCTAATGGGAATACGATTGAACGACTTCAAAGCAAGACCTCATGGGTAGCAAGGGTGGCGCCGCAGTGGTAAGGGCATCCGCCTCCCAACAATGTGGCCAGGGTTCAAATCCCAGCGTCGACGCCACACGTATTTTGTTGTTAATTCTCTCCAATGCTCCCATGAGGTTTTTCTCTGGGTACTCCAGTTTTCTGCTCTCCTCAAAAAACCAACACTGCCAAATTCCCATTCGATCTGGAACGCACGGACACGTTTAAGCGAGTTCCTAAGAACTCCTTAGTGCTTCGTGGGTAAACAAATTACAATTTACAATTTTTATTGCGCGCAAACAAGTGTGATAATACATCAAACCATAGCCAGTACAAAACTAGCAGCATGGCGGTTTTTGCGCACTTGGAAACGTTGCACAAACTAATGTAACATAATTTTCTCTCAAAAGAAAAGCAAAGAAGAGTTCCAAAGAAGGTTAATCAGGTACGTTTTTGGCAGAAACAGAACTGGAACGTCGGTTGACGACGGCGCGTGCATTTATTTAATTAAAGAATTAATTTAATCAATCAAAGAACTGGCTTAACCAATGGCAGAGCGACAAATTGGGCACCGGAAGTCATGTTTAGTCCTTTCCGCGCGCTTTCCCGTCGTCAACTGACGTTCCCGTTATTTTTACTAGCTCAACCTAATGAAACCAAGGACACCATGCAAAGGGACAGAACCAAGTGTCCACAGAACTGTCCGTATTATAGAGAGGTATGCAAATTATAGAGGTGTATGTTATTGAAGTAGTAGTAGTAGACACTGTAAGACGTTTGGCATTCTTGGACCCAGACTTAATCATATTACTTCATACGGCTCGTATACAGAGTCATCACGGACAAGAACAAACTTGAATTCAAAGTCGTAGCCACCAATGATGACATCAAAGAATCCTTGCTGGACCACAGTGATGGTAAGCTGCATTTATGTTCGATTTCATAAATTAGTTTATAAGTGAACGATTTATTTGAGTCGAGAGTCAGTGCCGGAGTAGCTGTTTTAACGGACTCACTGTTGATGCCCCATCCGGAAGAGGGAAAAGGCTCTGGGCAGATCGACTCTGGTTGGCTAAGTTTACTTCACTATTCACAATCGGCTCTATGAAAATATTCTAATTTAATTGCAATTGTTATGATTTATTCCAGTGTTCCTACTGGAGACAGAAGAGGGCCTGATTGTGTGGGTCGGCAAAGATGCAAGCGCCACAGAAAAGACTAATGCCCTTTACTATGCACAGGTTAGTTGCGTATATTTAACAATTATTCCTCGAGCCCAAATGGGCTATTGAATCAGAGGCCATGAGGTCGAGAGGAATAATTGTTTTAATAAAATCCAACTACTTGGTCAAAAATATCGAGAACAAAAAAATTTTAGCTAGTTAATCCTTTTTTGCCGCTAAAAAGCCCACGCTTTTCGCTACTAGTGGGCTGTAAAATATAGCCTAGTAGTAGCTCAACCAATCAGAACGCAGCATTGATAATAGACCACTAGTTGGATTTTACTAAACGCTAATATATACGTTATACGCTTCCCTGCGATCCGTAGAGCCATTTGGTTAAAAGAACGGAGGAGGTTTATAAGGCGTGATCTCTAAGAAAGTCAATGTCAGTTTCTTGTGCGTCTTGATCGCTTGAATGGCAAAATTCAGTTTTAGAGGCAAAACTGTTAAGCAGGAAAATACTAGACACAGAAATGTTCTTCTTAGAATAAGATTTCCGAAATAAAAAAAAATCAAAGACCTTGTTCTTGAACTGTTCCTTGTTCATCTGCATGCCATATCCCAGTATGTCAAGACACATTCAAGTAAGTTTACGTTAAGAGAGGACGCTTGCTTTGAAAAGCTATGCGAGAAGTACATGTACATGGAAATAGAACCCTTAGGGCTGGGAACAGGCCGATTGTTTTAAGCATAAGAGTTTGAAATGGAATCCTGTTCTTTTGATTCTATACTTAAGATGTACTTAAAGGAACACGGCCAGAATCAGATCTGCAGTGTCAGTTGTGTGCGCGAGAAAGTTGGAAAATGTCCAAGGGTGTGGGAGAAAACTGTCAAGAAATACAACAAAGGTAAGCTTTACAAAGAAGCAAATTCTTTCTACTTTGTCGTTAAGAGGTACAATAGCAATGGAAAATACTTTGGTGATGGTGATGGTGCTCCTGATTTTAGTGGTAATGGTCTATGAGCGTTGATCGTGATGATGATAGCAATGGTGGTTAGTGAAGGTAAAGATGACGATGGTGGTGTTGGTGGTTAGTGGAGATGATGATGATGATGATGATGACGATGATGATGGGCGTAGTGAGTGCTGATTGGGGCCTGGTGATGGTGGTGATTGTTTATGAAAATGATGAGTTTGGTGAGTGTTCGTGAAAGTGCGTGAAAGTGGTGATGATGATGGTGATGGTGAAACTAGTGACTAAAGATGATGATGATGATGGTGATGATGATAATGATCATGGGTGTAGTCAGTGGTGAGTGCTGCTGGTACTGGTGGTGATTGTTTGTGAAAATGATGAGTTTGGTAAGTGTTCGTGAAAGTGATGATGACGACGGTGATGGTGATAGTGGTCACTAAAGATGATGATGATGATGATGATGGTGATGATGGTGATGATGATGATGATGATGGATGTGGTCAGTGGTGCGTGGAGCTGGTACCTGGTGGTGATAGTTTGTGAAGACGACGAGTTTAGTTTGTGTTCGTGAAAGTGATAATGACAATGGTGATTGTGATAGTGGTAACTAAAGATGATGATGATGATGATGATGATCATGATGATGGTGGCGCATGATACTTAGTAAAGGACTGGCCCGGGTTGCTCGAAGCATGGTTAGTGCTAACCAGCGTTAAATACCATGGAAACCTATACATTTTGATACCTCTTAACCAACGGTTAGCGCTAACCAGGCTTCGAGCAAGCGGTCCCAGGATGATAGCGGTCAGTGCTGGTTGGTGAAGGTGACGTGTTTAACTAAAGTGAAGATAATGATGGTGATGACACTGATGTTTGCAATGGTGGGGGTGGGGGTGGGTGGTAACGGTTACGGCGATGATGATGGTGGCATAGAGCGTTTTCACACGCGTGGCCACGCTTAGCTAAAGGGAAAATAAATGTTAAGATACAAACTATACTTTTTTACGGGACTAGCTTTGCAGATAAATATTGAACTATGAAAATTACAGTATTGGCAACTGTAGGGTTCTCTTAATATAACTATAATTTCTTTACTAAATAGGAGTAAAGCAACAAACAGAGCATCGAGGGAGTCATTTGAACCGTATCTAGTCTGGTGTTATAGCAGAATCCTCCTTACCAATTGCTTATCTACGTTTTGTGGCTTTAAAAGCTAGTGGAAAGATAGAGAGGTTAAACAGTTTTATCAAAGAGTCAGTTGTGAAAAAAAGATATTAAAATGCAACTTTCGAGTCTGTGGATGGAAAAATCACTCCACTAGAACCTCTTCAAGTTTTGGTTTATTCTGACTTTTGTAGCTATTAGGAATAATAAAAGAGTTACTTGCTATACTGAGAGGATAAATCATTAATTAAGACATATTTGAAGTATTTGAAGTATTGAATTGTTATTCTTTTTTGGGTTTACTGATATACTTTTTAGAGTGCAATTTTCTGTATCTCTAAAACACACCACCGGCTCAAGGAGCCACCCCAAATAATACATGGGAAGGAATTACCCCTCAAATAATCACAGACCACCTTGAATCTAACGTTGAAGCTACAATGTGCAATTTACTGTTTTTCACCCTCGAAGAAACACTCACTTTTGTTTCTCTTTTCATAAAACAATACAGTTAGCGCTTAGTCCTCCTTCAGAGCCTAGCAACAAGAAACAGTCCGTATTTTCGGAGTTTGTCTTTAATACAGCTGTTTATCATTTGCGGTTTACACCAAATATTGCTGGCGCTTCAGAACCTTGCAGTCTTCAAAGTACAGTTGAACCTCTGCAGGGACCGCGCAGCAAGTTTTCGAGTTGGGGGGCTAAAGAAGAATGCGTGAAGGAAAATTTTTTTGGGGGCCGGGGGGGGACATGCTTGTGGATTTCTATTCAATTTCTCTAAAGTTACGGAGAATGCGAATAACGATAAAACTATTGATTTTTTTTCACATCTTCAGTGATGTTGCTATCGGGTCTGAAAATTCACCATCACTAAATTGAAATATCATAGATTGTTTTGTTTATACTACGGATATCAACCTTTAATTACTATAAATAAGCCAGAAATCCAACGATTTTGCTTGAGCTGCCTTGAACTCAAGGCTGTATAATTACTGTGCAATTATTTTTGAGGCTGAGTATTTTGAAATGCAGATCTCTTGAGCCCGGTGGATAAAGGAGTTTAATATCTTCTAATTGTTTTTATTCATTCAAAATATTTACACGGCAAAACAAAACGGTAACTGAAAATAATTTAGTGAATGAAAATTCAATTATAGAACAGATTCAGAAAAAAGTAGCAAAAAATTATGCAGAGTTTACTCACCAGATAAAGAAGGTTTTCCATTTTGTTTGGAAAAGTAATCAGAAAAAAAGAGATCTCTTCTTTGCATTACTAGTGGTATGTGAAGTCTCGTCGTTCGTATTTATGTTGCCATGTACCATATGCAGTTCTTTTGTTTAACCGCCGGAAATGTTCCTTGATGACCAGAAAACAATTCCCCGGTTTAAGTACTTTCGATGACAAAATGTTTTTATAAACAGACCGCATTTCAATTGAATGCTCAATTTTCAAAAGACGGACTCGCGCTGATCAAGCTAAAACAGGACGCACAATAACAAGAGAAAAATAACTTCATGATCTTTCAAGGTTGAAACTAATAAACAAAGTTTGAGAATCGCCTTATAAACCCAAATGGTCAGGAAAAAGAAGCCATTTAAAAACGTTTACCTCTGCTAGGTTAGAAGAAAAAATATTTTACAATTAAATAATGCTTCATTCAAAAACGTTTGTCTTTATCCTGGTACTTTCTAATTAAAATTTTTTTATTTTTCACCCCGTTTTTTGTTAAATTATTTTTTGTTAAATTTAACTCCAAAAAAAAAAGCCCCTCCGGTGAGTCCCTGGTCTGTATACGGAACCGAAGGGACAGAGCGAAGGTCACTAGGTGATATAAAACGTCACTATGATAACGTCACTTTTATGACTCCAGTTACAGTTTCAAGTGTTCAGTACCTAAAATCAGGTTCACTCTCGTCTTTAAACTGCATTTAAAGTTATTGATTCACAGTACAAAGACACTGTCTTTCAGTAGCATACATGCAACATTGTACATCTCAGCAACAGACAAATCACTGTTTTAAAACAAAACGAGCTAAGGCGCAATGCTGCATGTAAAAAGTTATAACGTAAAGCCGAATTCTGAAAGCCTCTTTCGCTATTTTGGAAGTGCAGTAAACAGTAACTAGAGCACAAAATGTGATAGAAAAGATCTTCATGCTATCTGTCGTTACTTGAAGCCTCCAAAAAGTCGGTTATGTTCCTCTGTACACCTTTCGCAAATCGTCGTTTGGTATGCAGCGACTATATCACCTTGCATAGCTCATCAGCCAGACTAGACGGGATTCACCCTGTTTAGATACACCTGATCGGCATTCGGGATTTGCCTGATCTCAGCTGTGTCTGTTATAAAGAGGTTAAGTTTATACCCGGGAGTTTATATAACAATTATTCCCCGAAGTGGAGGTGGCTAGTCGTGAATTTAACGGAACTGCGAAGCAGTGAGGTAAATATCCACGACTAAACACCGACACTGAAGTGAATAATTGTTTTAGTATATACTAAAACAGTGAGATAATTGAGCACAAAAATGATGATTTTTAACTCAAATACTGGTGTCAACGATTACAATTTTGGCGCGTAATGACCGGGCGGCCGCGGCCGTCGCTTTTTCTTGCCTACAATTAAAACTTTTGAAGACATTTGTTTAGCTCTTGCGGGGAAATTTCTTCAAAAGGAGTTGTGAATTCTTTTTGTATTTAAAATCATTCTATAAAAAAAGATTATTAAATTTAGTTTTAAGCTTATTTATGAACAAGTCAACCAAATAAAGTAACGCAAGACTTTAAACTCAATTTGCATTTGTAAACAAAAAACTTTTTCACCGGTTTTATCGATAAATTCGTGTCAAAAAGACAAAGCTTTACCTGTTAAAACTTCCCATCCGAACTTCGTCACCTTCTTCGTGTATTTCGGAAACAGCTTGCTTGATTGTTTGTGAAATTTCTTTGTTTGTTTACGGCAGCAAACCGGGAAGGCATTTTGCTCGCAACTTACGCGAATTTGGAGTCGCTCGCTCGGAGGAACTGGAGGTGAATCAGTGAATAGTGCAGGATAGTCACTGACTGAGTAACCAATCAGAGCGCGCGAAAAACACTATCCACTGTTTTAGTATATACTAAATGAATTTACTCTCTGGGGCCGAGATTTAGTGTCCGTTGTCCGTATTAGAGAGAGTCCGTATTATAGAGTTTTTTTAAAAGAAAATATATGAGAATTTTGTCGGGACTTAAAAACTGTCCGTAATAAAGAGGTGTCCGTACGTACAGAGAGGTTCGACTGTAAGTTGCTCCCGCACACCAATTATGAATAGCCTGCGTAGCAGGCGCTTGGAAGTAGTGGGCGAAAGAGAGAACGGGCGCGCGCAAGGGAGACGCGCGTGTCTCCTTCTCGCACGCGTTCTCTTTTTCGCCCACTTCTTCCAAGCGCCTGCTACGCAGCCTAATTATGGAAGGCATCAAGTTCTCAATCGGTGATAAGGCTCAACAATACTTCATTATTTTTTAAGTCTCTGTTTGTTTATACGACAGTAGTCCTACTCATTCTCTGACGGTTGCTCATCTTCGTCTGTTTCGCTAGTTTTTATAAACCCCAAACTCAATTCATCGCGTTCACTCGCCGGTATGAACGTAACAAACGAACTAACCGGTAGTTCAGGGAGTTGAACTTGGCTAAGCTCTTGAAATCTTAGCATAGAGTGTGCACTCGAGCTTCTCTGAGCCAAGTCACTGGTGTACTCTGCGGCTTGGTTGAGCTGTTTCCTCAGCTCCTCAGCCTCTTTTTTTGCAGCATCCAATTTCTCCTTCCTCGACACGCGTGTGTCCTCGAGGGCGGTTATCATTTCTCGCTCTCGTTCGCGAACAGCAGCGATCATTTGTTCTGCTGCCTCGGACACCTTGTGTTTAGCGGCGACAATGTCAGTTTCGAAGTTAGCAGCTGATTCCTCAAACTTCCGTACCACGTTATTGCAAAGCAAGTTCTTTTGTTTCATCTTTTCGGTTCCAGCCAAAATTTTGGCCTTTTGTACCTCCGCAGCCTTTTCGAGCGACTCAACTGCATGATTTTTGTGGTCAGTATTGACACACACTTGACAAATACAATTTTCACAGTCACGACAATAAAACCTCATTACCTCTCCTTCGTGGTACTTCACCGCACAAAAATCCTTTCGCTTTGTCAAGGCTTCGTAATCTGCGGCTTTAAACTGTTGGACTGGGGTAAGTTTGTGTTCTTCGAACGCAACAGCTCTAAACATCTCGTGAGCGTTCAAGCAGACATTACACATCAGCTTCTCGCAGTCAAAACAGTAAGTGCATTCGGCGCTCTTTTTCTCACAAATCCCACACCTGACCTCACGTCCATTGCAGCTTTGTTGAACAGCGAAAATGTTGAGCAGACTGGTGTGATAAGAGCTGGTCGGTAGCTGATCGAAATTGTTTCCTTCGGGAATGCAGATTTGTGTTTGGCACTCGGGGCAGCGAAACTGACCATCTCTCTG